TGGACTCTGGAGCAGTGGAAACGCGTTCTCTGGAGTGATGAATCACGCTTCACCATCTGGCAGTCTGACGGACGAATCTGGGTTTGACGGATGCCAGGAGAACGCTACCTGACTAAATGCCTAGTAACAACTGTAAAGTTTGGTGGAGGAGTAATAAAGGTCTGGGGCTGTTTTTCATGGTTCAGGCTAGGCCCCTTAGTTCCAGTGAACAGAAATCTTAAAGCTACAGCATACAATGACGACTCTGTGCTTCCAACCTTGTGGCAACAGTTTGGGAAAGGCCCTTTCCTTTTTCAGCATGACAATGCCCCCTGTGCACAAAGCGAGGTCCATACAGAAATGGTTAGTTGAGATCGGTGTGGAAGAACTTGACTGACCTGCACAAAGCCCTAACCTCAAACCCATTGAAACCCTTTGGGATGAATTGGAACGCCGACTGCGAGCCAGGCCTAATTGCCTAACATCAATGCCCGACATCACTAATGATGTTGTTGCTGAATGGAAGCAAGACCCCGCAACAATGTTCCAACATCTACTGGAAAGCCTTCCCAGAAGAGTGGAGGTTGTTATAACAGCAAAGGGGGGACCAACTCCATATTAATGCCCATGATTTTGGAATGAGATGTTTGATGAGCAGGTGTCCACATACTTTTGGTCATGTTGTGTATGTCTTTCAGTTGTGAAGCTAAAACATGAACGGATGACAGTACTTTGAACATATTGAATCTCATTACTTGTAATTCATTTCCTAAATGTAATCTGAACATTAAAATGTAAAGATAAGATAGTGAAGAAGTCGACACTTGCCTTCCAATGATGTAAACGGTCCACAGGAGAGACTATCACACACCCATAGTGTGGTCTGACAAGATAAAGTGATGAAATTTATGTGACACATCTCACATCTCATCAGTGACGTACTTCCTAATAAGAGTGTGATAACTTATTTTAAAAGAATACTACAGTATTTATATAACAGGATGCTTGAATAGTCTATGTACTGGGTGTCCTTATCAGCTGTGAAAACACTGTATGCATAAATAAGTGCTAAGAACATTTCCATTTTCTAATGAACCTTCTGCTCTGCTAATGAACCTTCTGTTTCTGTCACTTGAGACATTGCAGAGGTGGCATTAATCATGTTCCACCAGTTTCAAATGAAATGGTTCTAAAGACAAATTATGTTTTATCCACTGATTCAACAGCTTCATATGGCCTATACATTTAATTAAATGTGACTTAATGGGGGTAGAAGAACACCTCAACAGCATGTTGAAACAGGCCCCCAAATTGCTAAGTCCTCCCCTGATACATCAATAAATATAATAAAGGAAACTTTAGGTAATATAACCATCTCCCTCTCCCCTGTCTCCCAGGCTTCAATGGGAATGTATGTGGGATTAAAACATATAGTTAAATCATGAACCAAAATCCACTATTAATTTCTTTAAGACCAAAAAAAAAAGTTACATTTGAGTTCGATACAAAACATATGGTTCTCACATAATTTTTTTACATGAAAAACAGACTTGGTATGTAACAGAGTGGGCAGCAGGTAGCTTAGTGGGTAAGAGCGTTGTGCCAGTAACCGAAAGGTCGCTGGTTCTAATCCCCAAGCCGACTAGGTGAAAAATCTGTCGATGTGCCCTTGAGCAAGGCACTTAACCCTAATTGCTCCTGTAAGTCGCTCTGGATAAGAGCGTCTGCTAAATGACCATAAATAAAATAAATAAATAAATAGAGTAACTGTAATTGTATCTGACTGATTCTCACACACCACTCAACTTCTACTGCACTAACTTCCTGTTTTTCTTGCTTCACTTCCTCTTTGAGGTCTATTTCCCCCCAGGAGTTTACTTACTATATTTAAACCCTTTTTGCCATGGTGCAGAGAGAAAAATGTAGAGTTTTATAATGCTATTCCACACATTTTGTCATGAAGCTGATCAGAGATGTTGCTGTTTTTAAGCAAATGTCCTGATATTCAACACATTTTGCTATCATATGCTATCTGGGGCCGTTCGGTAATCGGGCCCTACTCCCAAAATGACTTCTTATTGAAATTTCATGAAAAGAGCATGGCCGTGGTGCCACAGGAAGGAGCCAGCGACCTGCAGGGCCTGGGCGGCAAGGTGTACATGGGCACCCTCTTCGACGATGATGTGTAGATGGGATACAGCTTTTGTCAAATTAATGTCAAAAGTTGAATTTTTTTAGCATTTCAGCTAACCCTAACCCTTTTCTTTACATCAATCTAATTTTCCTAACCTGCTACGTTAATTATCCGAACCTGCTGCATAAATTGCTTTAAACTTGCTAGGAAAAGTCAATTTTGTCAAAAGTTGTATCCCTTCTAGAAAAAGAAAACCTCTTCGACCTACCCAAGGCCTTCTGGGAGAAGGAGACCCAGGAGCCGAGGGTGTACTTTACCCAGCAGTTGAGAGCCAACCTCCCCCAACAGGTGGAGGGAGAGCTGAAGGCTCTGGAGGACAGGGTCAGGAATTGAGAGGTGGAGGGACCAGATGATTCAGAGAGAGAAGAGAGAAAGTATGGACTATTGGACACTACACTATGCTGATGCTGCAATATGGTGGGGATGGGGATATGGTGGGACTGACAGAAAAGGGACTAACAAGCTCATTTCACTTTGGTGGAAACTGCTTTGCCTATATGTGGGTAAAATGTATGAAAATACAATAAAACGACTTGTTTGCATGCAGTTCAGGCAACCACTCACTGTGGATATATAAGTAGGTATTAAGTGATAGATCAGAACCAACATTTAGAAGTATCTTACTGCGCTTTCCATGACATAGACTGACCAGGTGAATCCAGGTTAAATCTATGATGCCTTATTGATGTCACTTGTTTAATCCACTTCAATCAGTGTAGATGAAGGGGAGGAGACAAGTTCAAGAAGGATTTTTAAGCCTTGAGACAACTGAGACATGGATTGTGTATGTGTGCCATTTATAGGGTGATTGGACAAGACAAACATGTTTAAGTGCCTTTGAATGACGTGTGGTAGTACGTGCAAGGTGCACCGGTTTGTGTCAAGAACTGCAACACTGCTGGGTTTTTTCACACTTAACAGTTTCCTGTGTGTATCAACAATGATCCTCCATCTAAAGGACATCCAGCCAACTTGACACAACTGTGGGAAGCATTGGAGTCAACATGGGCCAGCATCCCTGTGGAACGCTTTCGACACCTTGTTGAGTCCATGCCCCGATGAATTGAGGCTGTTCTGAAGGCAAAAGGGGGTGCAACTCAATATTAGGAAGGTGTTCCTAATGTTTGGTATACTCAGTGCCTTCAGAAAGTATTCATACCCCTTGACTTATTCCACATTTTGTTGTGTTAATGCCTGAATAAAACATTGATTGTATTTGTTTTCTCACCCATTTACACACAATAACCCATAATAACAAAGTGAAAATATGTTTTTAGAAAAGTTTGGAGTTTTATTGAAAATGAAATACAGAAATATTTAATTTGCATAAGTATTCACACCCCTGAGTCAATGCATGTTAGAGTCACTTTTTGCAGCGATTACAGCTGTGAGTCTTTCTGGGTAAGTCTCTAAGAGCTTTGCACACCTGGATTGTACAACATTTGCACATCATTCTTAAAACAATTCTTCAAGCTCTTTCAATTTGGTTGTTAATCATTGCTAGACAGCCATTTTCAAGTATTGCAATAGATTTTCATGCTGATCGAAACTGTAACAATGCCACTTAGGAACATTCAATGTTGTCTTAGTAAGCAACTCTGGTGTATATTTGGCCTTGTGTTTTAGGTTATTGTCCTGCTGAAAAGTGAATTTGTCTCCCAGTGACTTTTGAAAAGCAGACTGAACCAGGTTTTCCGCTTGCGTTTTGCATGTGCAAAAGTGTAATTAATAACTTCACCATGCTCAAAGGGATATTAAATGTCAGATTTGTTTTCTTTTTACCAATCTACCATTGGTGCCCTTTTTTGCGAGGCATTGGAAAAGCTCCCTGGTCTTTGTGGTTGAATCTGTTTGAAATTCGCTGCTCTACTGAGGGACCTTTAAGATAATTGTATGTGTGGGGTACAGAGATGAGGTAGTCATTCAAAAATCATGTTAAACACTATTATTGCACAGAGAGTGAGTGCATGCAACTTATTATGTGACTTGTTAAGCAAATCTTTACTCCGGAAAGAATTTAGGCTTGCCATAAGAAAGGGGTTGAGGAAAGGGGTTGAATACTTATTGACTTGTAAAAATGTTTTAAAACATAATTCCACATTATGGGGTATTGTGTGTAGGCCAGTGACACAAAATCTCAATTTAATCAATTTAAATTAGATATGTAAAAGGTTGGACCAATAAAATCCAAAAGATTTAATTGAAGTTGAATGTTAAGTTTTTATTTGTATGAATTAACAATATTAAAATCAGCCTAAATTGTTTGTCTTGTTTAAAACTCAACATAAAACTGACACAATAACTTCTAAATAGATATAAAGTTAAAATAGATAATATTATTATTCTGGTAACTGCACAAAAGATGCAGAGAAACAGTGACTAGTAGATGTTAACACCATTCTGCCGTCATGTAGACATACTTCACCAACTTCCTGTCTTGTATCCGACCACTGTCTCTCCAACTAACTGTGTCTTCTCTCCTCAGTCATCATTGACTTTATATGGTCTTAAACTGCCTTCAGTAAGATAGTTGAACTCAGCAGTTCCTCTATACTGGAACCCATTAAACGGATGCTCTGTGAACTCAACACTCAAAATGAATTGGCTCAAAATAAAGAGTAGCCTACATCATCGTATCACCACTATAGTAGCAGTTAAACACTTTTCATCCCAGCAAATTCTACAAATATGCAGATAATCAAAGAGCACACAATTATAAATGTATCAAAAGTACCAACAGAAAACAAATACACAACGACGATACTGTACGTAAAAACATTTACTACCCATTGGCAAAATACTTAAAATGCACCTCTTTTATCTCTTAAAGCCCATCTATGTAGTTAAGGTGTGGTTCCTGGGGCCCTCTCCTGGTCACATTGACTTCAGCGTACTCACTCTCCTGCCCCTGGACCCTGTTCCTGTCCTGGGCTGCAGCTGGGGTCTCTTTGGGCCGTAGTTTGGAGAAGTCTATGTCACCATAGTGGATCTCTTCAGGCTGGTCTTCTGCAGGTTCCTCTGGTTTCTCTCCGGCTGTGGTCTGGTTAACACACACCGTCCCAACCGGGGAGTTCTGTGGAGAGAACACAGAGAGAGGAACAGGTGTAAAGTTCTAAGCTCAGTCATTTGTAAAACTCTAAAGTCAGCAGGTTACACAACACATACTGAGGGGATGTCAATGACAATGTCAATTAAACTGACAGAAGAAAATAATTACATTTTGACAACAAATGAGCTCCAGTCTAAAGTAAACACTGTCAAAGTCCAACAGCTATTCTGTTATCATTTGATGTTCGTAAAGGATGTGGCACTGTTTTCAGTGTGGTCATCTCCCCGTGAACTTCCTCTAAAATGATGTTAACCTCATGGCTTTGGAGAGTTTCATCATTAATTCAGTACTTCCTTAGATACACTTTGTAGATGTGTTATGAAAGTTGAGCCTTATACCCACCTGTCCCTGTGGATTGTCCGTCCTTTCAAGTCCATCGGGGAGCCTAGAGTTTCTCCTCCTGGAAGACATTTAGAAAGGTATTCTGAATGCACTGAGAGGGTTTTCATATGCAAAAGCACAAACACAACATAAATAAATAGTTTTGCATTGATGCCAGGAATAGTTTTTACCATCCAAAAAGACTGATCAGGCTGATAAGAAAAAAGGCCCCCAGAGTTCCTGCTGCAACGCCAAAAACCATTGGGTTAATAGGCTCTTCTTGCCCTGAAAATACAACACATATTATGGTCATTTCTAACTAAAAGATCTCTAAAGTACACTACATGAACAAAAGTATGTGAACACCTGCTCATCAAACATCTTATTCCAAAATCATTGGCATTAATATGGAGTTGGTCCCCCCTTTGCTGTTATAACAGCCTCCACTGTGGCATTAAGATGTTCCTTCACTGGAACTAAGGGTTCTAGCCCGAACCATGAAAATCAGCTCCAGACCATTATTCCTCCTCCACCAAACTTTACAGTTGGACCTATGCGTTGGGGAAGGTAGCGTTCTCCTGGCATCCGTCAAACCCACATTTGTCCGTCGGACTGCCAGATGGTGAAGCGGGATTCATCACTCCAGAGAACCGGTTTCCTATTCTCCAGAGTCCAATTGAGCTAAGCCTTACACCACTCCAGACGATTCTTGGCATTGCGCTTGTTGATCTTCGGCTTGTGTGTGGCTGCTCGGCCATGGAAACCCATTTCATGAAGCTCCCGACAAACAGTTCTAGTGCTGACGTTGCTTCCAGAGGCAGTTTGGAACACGGTAGTGAATGTTGCAACTGAGGTCAGATGATATTTACGAACTATGTGCTTCAGTACTCAGCTGTCCTGTTCTCTGAGCTTGTGTGGCTTATCGCTTCGCGGCTGAGATGTTGTTGCTCCTAGAAGATTCCACTTCACAATAACAGCACTTACAGTTGACCGAGTTAGCTCTAGCAGGGCAGAAATGTGACAATTTGACTTGTTGGAAAGTTGGCATCCTATGACACACGTGGCACACGTTGAAAGACAATGAGCTCTTCAGTAAGGCCATTCTACTGTCTATGGAGATTGCATGACAGTGTGCTCGATTTTCTACACCTGTCAGCAACGGGTGTGGCTGAAATAGCCAAATCAACTAACTTGAAGGGGTGTCCACATACTTTCGTAGATATAGCGTATGTCTAATCTAAGATTGTGCCCGACACATGCGTTTTACCTTTAACAGCCAGCCACACTTCCTTTGACTTCCCACGGCCGTGACTATTTCTTGCTTCACAGTAGTACAGTCCTCCATCACCAACAGTCACATTGAGGGTATAACTCTGTCCAGATGCTACCTGTGTTGGTTTACCCCCACTGATCTGGAACCAGGTGAAGTTTGTCACAGGAGGGTTGGCTGTACTGCTGCAGGTCAGATTAACACAGCTGCCCACTAATACTGGATCAGCTGGACTGATGGAGGCTGAGGTGTCCTTAGGAGAGACTGAGGGAGAAGGGTTCATTTAGAATGTATCTGGATGTGGTATATTGAATAGTCTAATCAAAACCACTCTATGACAATCATCAGTGAAAACATGATAGAATTATCTATTCTACAGGAAATTGTAACTAAATCTTACATGAAACGTTAAGCATCATGGTATGTTCAGCTGTCTTGTTGCTTGTCCCTACTGGGTAGACTGCAGTACAAGTGATGTTCTTCTCATGATGAAGGTATGACGGAGTGAAGGTCACCGTGGAGAGAACTGATTTGGTTTGGTCTGGATTCTCCTGCAGTTGGTTCTCAGGTGTGAACTGTGTTGGGAGAGTCCATATCAGCTCAGGGGGGTGTTCGGGACAGGGAGCGACAGCAGAGCAGTTCAAACTGACAGGGGTCCCTTCCTTCACCTCACCTGAGACAGTAATGATGGGGCTGGGAGGAAAATCTGTAATACATTAAAAATAAAGATATTTTACACTAATAGCTCAACTGTCCATTAGTTCAACTCTTATCTTTGATGCAAGGAATCTAAACTGGATAAAATAGTTGGTAAACAGTTAAATTGTCTCTTACCCCTGAAATCTATATTAACAGACTTTTCAATGTCTGTTGCACGGTATGGTTGACTTTCAATCCTGAAAAAGTATTTATCAGAGTAACTGCAGTTTACATTGAAGAAGACTGTGGTGCAGTTCTTCTGGGACATGTTTTCAGTTATCTTCCCTTGATATCTGTTGACCTTCTTACTACTGTTAAATACAACATTGTCCGGACTCTGAGCAAACTGTGGTGATTCTTTAATCCACACTCCAAAGGTAAGTATTGTGCTGTTAAATTTATAGTCATTTTGGTCAGGAATATCAAATGCACATGGGATTTGCACACAGGAGCCAGTCAGTACATCCAGTCTAACTGGCATTGTGGCGATCAAACCTCGTTGGCCAAAACAGGCCAAAACACCTGCAACATAAAGGACAACATCAGGGAGGTTATGTGATCTTTTCAGTACAGTCACTCTCTCCTAATTTTCTCCCTCTTCAGCAAAAAATATGAACTCATTTCAATGTACAGGTGATTCCTGATGTCGTGACTCCATGCCCTAAACTGGAGCATTCATCCAGCATTGAATCCAGACTATTAAACTATACTTATTAATGGGGAATATATTATCTATTATGCTGTGAGAGAAAGATCACGTATTTACCTGATTTGTTTAATATTAATAGTTAACAATTAATATGCTTAACAATAGCAGAGACATTTCTTAACTACCAATGCTGTGCTTTTCGTAAGGATGGTTCCCTCCAGCTCCCTGCAGCTGGTCTGGGCGTGTAGTCAAGGACATGGGATAGAGATAAACTTGAGGAACAGAGACCTGTATTGTTTCAATTTCTCGTTGCTTACACATAGCCACAAGAAGAAAACAAGGTGGCTCCTGATCTGCCAGGGAAGGGCGTGCATGTACGAAAAGCAGAGATTGTTTTGGACACTTTGCAGAACTTATGAAGAGCTACATTTCGCTGTTGACTCAATATTAACGTCTGCCTACAATTGCATAACTAAAGATATTTTACATATACTCAGTGTCTGTGTCATTTTCTAAAGTTTAAAGTTTGTTTAAGAATAAGAGAATATCAGCACTGTGCAAAGAACCCTCTACATTATCAGGAGTCAACTGTACACTTTTCTACACATTGAGACAGATGGGAATATAGCTCATACCATGAAATATCATGACTTGTGCTTATTCCTCTGTCTGATTCATAACTAGTTGTTGCTGTGTGGAAGACTCACCTGACATAAAGAGGCCAATGAGAAAAAACATGTTCTCAGGACAAGCCATGTGAAAACTCACACACTACTGATCACCTGAAACAGGACAAACACACACTTACTGGTAGAGTAGCTTAACTCACACAACACATTGGTATAGTAACTCACATGACACATACTGATATCGCATGTAAGCTTTAGTCCCAACATCACATAGGTATTTCAGTTGTGAAGCTAATACATGAACTAACAGCCGTACATTGAACATTTTGAATCTCATTACTTGTAATTAATTTCCTAAATGTAATCTGAACATTAAAATGTAAAGATAAGATAGTGAAGAAGTCGACACTTGCCTTCCAATGATGTAAACGGTCCACAGGAGAGACTATCACACACCCATAGTGTGGTCTGACAAACTAAAATGCTGAAATTTATGTGACACATCTCACATCTCATCAGTGACGTACTTCGTAATAAGTGTTAGAAATTAATTTAAAAGAATACTACAGTATTTATTTAACAGGATGCTTGAATAGTCTATGTACTGGGTGTCCTCATCAGTTGTGAAAACACTGTAAAAATAAGTGTTAAGAACATTTCCATTTTCTAATGAACCTTCTAATGTTGCACAATTTGTTTCAGTCACTTGAAACATTGCAGAGGTGGCCTTAGCCATGTTTCACCAGTTTCAAATGAAATGGACCCCAGCTGTCCACTGACTGATGTTTAATGGAAAGTGTGTGTTAGCCACTGATTCAACAGCTTTATATGGCCTATACATTTCATTACTGTCAGAAATGAAACAATTATACACGATACGTTTTTCATTGTGGGATAATAACATTAATTGCAGTTAATGTGTGTGGGGGGGGGGGGGGGGGGGGGGGGGGGGGGGGGGACATTGTATGAAAAATCATGTTCTCAGGACAAGCCATGTGAGAACTCCCACACAACTGATGAACCTGAAACAGGACAAACGCACACACTTTTAGTGTAGCAACTCACACAACACATTGCCCCATTCCTACCTTCAGGCTGAAACCCTACACCCGAGCACTCCGTCCTCCCACCCCTACGGGAGGACAGTTCCCACTCAGCTCAGTCCAAGCTCTTCTCTGTCCTGACACCCCAATGGTGGAACCAGCTTCCCCCTGAAGCGAGGACAGCAGAGTCCCTGCCCATCTTCCGAAAACCTACCTTTTCAGAAGGTAGAGTCCCTGCCCCCCCCCCACCCCACCCCTTATAGCACTGACTTTGCTGATAGCTGCTTTAAGGAACAATATACTTACCGTACTATGAATGTGATATGTGGTTGTCCGACCCATCTTAAGATGAATGCACTATCTGTAAGTCCCTCTGGATAAGAGTGCCTGCTAAATAACTACAATGTCAAATGTATTACACTGAACCTTAAATCCCAACATCACATACTGTATGTCTTTCAGTTGTGAAGTTAATACATGAACCAAGAGCAGCACTTTGAACATTTTAAATCATTACTAGTAATAACATTTCATTTAGTCTGAACATTAAAATGAAAAGATAAGATAGATAAGAAGTCGACACTTGCCTTCCAATCTTGAAAACCGATCATTTATTACATTTACGTCATTAGCAGACGCTCTTATCCAGAGCGACTTCCAGTTAGTGAATACATATTTTTTTTAATACTGGCCCCCCGATCACAGGAAAGGAGATCCTATCTCACACCTGTAGCGGGTTCTGACAAACTGAAGAGTTGCAATTCAAATGGGACAAGTGTCACGATAGTGATGACTTCATATTCCTAATAAGTGCACAAAATGGTTTGCTTAAATTATTTTCATTTTCAAAAGCAAGTAGTGTATTTTCTAATTATATGCATAATATATAAACTACAGTATTTATTTAACAGGATGCTTTAAATGTCTATGCAAGTATGCAAATGAATGTGCTATAAAAACATTTCCCCTTTCTAAAGACTCTACTCTTGCACATTTTGTTTCAGTCATATCTATAATGCAACAACAATAAATGCAACAAACAAAGGTGTCAGCAATAGAAGCATCTCCCTCTCTCCTAGCTCTCAGACTTGAATGGGAATGCATGTACGATTTAATTTGTTTTTGTTTTTAAATCACAAGCCAAAATCCATTATTTATTTTATTCAACAACAAAAAAATAACATTAATAAAACTTGACTAGTTCAATTCGAGCTCAACATGAAAAAAAACAGACATGGTCAGATGCACTATAATTGTAGTAACTAATCGTAGCTAAGTGATTCATACACTCCTGCACTAACTTCTGCTTTTCTTGCTTCACTTCCTGTTTGAAGTCTATTTACCCTTCTTAAATTTGCCTGGGGTTGCACCGGTCTTCTGTTTCTTCTTAGCAGATCCCTTTATCTCAGGTTCCTAAATAAGGAGGAAGTAGAGAGGATTATTTTAACATGGATACAGTATGGTCAAGAGACTTCATGTTTGTTTGTTTTTCTCTAAAGACAATCTGTAATAAACCGAACTGTCAACTGTTTCGAATGTACAGGCGTTGTAGAAAAAAAAAATCAGCTCTTGTAGTCGAGAAAACTGTTAATAATTCCCCAGGGCTTATTCAATAGCGACCTGCGCAGGGGAGACCTTTTCTGGACGCAGCCAGCATTGGACTCTCTTAGACATAAATACATTTTAACTTATATAGTCAAGGAACATCTGGTTCAGATCAGCACTCTCCTCTCTACTGAGTTTTCTTGGCAAGCTTATCTATTATATAAGACATACTGTACATATTGGCACCCAAGTGATTCTCCCCCCCCCCCCCCTCTTCAATGTATAACACGTGGGATTGCCACGTTCCATACCCCCCTTCATCTTAGATGATAGACAACTGTACTGTGTGCTTTAAAGCTAACACAATTGTCATTAAGCTTAATTTGTCCTTCCTACAGGTTTATAGCGCCACACACACACTTCTCTCTCTCTCTGAAGCCCATATGTGTACCATGCTGTCAAGTATGTGATGTAGTGTCCTAAGCACCTTGCGCTTTGATGACAGAGACCCGGTGATGGTGAAGAAGGAGTCCAGTCGTCCCTGTGTGCTGCCCTGTCGGCTCTTCATAATCTTCTTACAGCCGTTCTTGATGCGGTCCTCACTGAAAACACATCACACACACACATCTCACAGGATGTCAAACTTCATCACTCATACCAACCATGACATAACATCATGTGGTGTGAGATTGGGGTGGCAGATAGCCTAGCGGTTAAGGGCGTTGGGCCAGTAACCGAAAGGTTGCGGCTTCGAATCACTGGGCCAACTAGGTTAACAATCTGCAGTAGTACATTTACATTTTAGTCATTTAGCAGACGCTCTTATCCAGAGCGACTTACAGTTAGTGAGTGCATACATTATATTTTTCATACTGGCCCCCCAGTATTTCATACTAGTACTTGAGCAAGGCACTTAACCCTAATTGCTCCTGTAAGTCGCTCAGGATAATAGCATCTGCCACAATGTAAATGTTAACATTTCAACAGTGAAAAAGCAGTGCTAGTCTCTGATTTAGAAAACAGAAGTGTGACTGAAGTATCTATTCCACCATTTACACCATTTGGGGCAAATCCCAACTTCCACTTAAGTCAAATGTCCCCTTAGTCATGCATTGACCTCAATGGGAGAAATTAAGATTCGCCCCTGCCATTCTAAACTCACATAAATCATTGAGTTAAGAGTATTAAAGCTCTGTTTGACACAGGTGTTACTCTTATGCCATGTAAAAATGGGGCCAATGAGGTTAATTGTTCATACTATCAATCATCGAATCAGTCACCTGAACTGTTTCTCTGCACACATGAACTGGATGAGGGCGTCCTCGTCAGGCTCGCTCCATTTGAGGTCTACGGTGGAGCAGTCCACCACGTCAGGCTGCAGGAACAGACCTCTGGCCTCCTTATACAGCCAGTCCTCTGGGGCAGGGTGCTTCTGCAAGGGGCCAAGGAGACAGACACTCAGATTGACTTCTGGGACTGGGAGAACTGCTGCGTCATTGTTTTGAAATTAAACTAAGGACTGTTAGTAATGTGGGAGTGTCGTGAATGTGTGCGCTGAAGAGGAGCAAGTCATAACAACAGAGAATGTAACACTGGAACACTATTTAGCTACAGCAGGTGAACTCACAGACGGGTCGATGTTCTCCAGAATCTCCTCGATGGAGCCGTGTTGTCTGATCAAGTCGATGGCTCTCTTGGGCCCGATTCCCTTGATGGTACCACAGTAGTCACAGCCCAGCAGTATGCACAGGTCAATGAACTGAGACAGAGGCAATACAGAGGGGAGAGTGACTGGGATAGAAGACACTTACAATCAAAAGGTCATGCTCGGATGTCACATCATCACATTAAAATGACAAAACACTGACAGTTCTTGACAACAGAAGACAGGGGGGGGTATGTTTGGAGATACCTGCTCATGGGTCAGATTAATGTCCTGCAGAAGGCGAGTGAACTGGAACTCCTGGATAGGAAGCTTTCTAGGATAGAGAAACAGAAATGTTTTAAGAAACCTCAAAAAACGAATATCCAGCACACGCCGAATCCAATAACATACACCGCTTCTTCTACTGTTAAAATAGAGTCACAAACTGTATGGCTGTGATGCTGCACATACTGTATAATGGGAGGAAAGATGGGTAATGATTAAGGTAGTATAGAAACTGCAGTAGTACTTTGCTTCGCTGGCGGTGAGGTGCCTTAGTAGGACGCCTGTTCCAAAAGTCAGACCGTCCATATCCTCTGTTGCTGTGGCAAACACCTTCCCAGCCTTAACCAGAGCAGCGCAGCTCGCCTCTGCCTCACATGGAGCCTAGTGGGTGAGATGGAAGATAGACCCCAGATAAGATACATTCAAAACAGAACGAATGGACTCGGGCTGTCCGTGAAAAAATAAATAAAAAATTGGTTGACCGAAAGGCTGTTCTTTCGACCAATTGATTGTTGGAAATGTTTAAACGTGTATTTTTCCATATATAGACACACCCTATGTGTTTTAATAAATTCAACTATATGCATTGAGCTTGTCTGATGCTTTAAGATTAGGGTTTGATGAAATAAGACAAATGCCTCAAGAGGGCGCCAGAGATCTAGATAACCAGAAGGAAAAAAAACCTGACCGAACTATTCTCCTCCCGCTCCTGCTGGCTTTCACAGATTCTGCCATTACTCTCCTGAAGTTCCTGGTAATAGGCTACACAAGGAGTCTGCAACCATTCTCATGTGGAATGCCAATTTATCTTACCATTTCTACCGATCTGCGTGCCAGTTATGGTTTTCATATGCACATTTTCGTGGAACAGTTTCATTTAATTTATAATAATGTCTTAATATCTCTAAATCATTGTCATGTGGTTAATCAATTCTATCTAAATGAAAGTGATACAAACCTAAAAAGTAACTTCTATTGTCATTGCCAATTATGTAAAAATAGCCTACATAAAGCCAAACAAATAGAAACTGCAGCCTGCAGGTAGAAAATATCCTGATAAAAATAAATATACTATAAATCACATTGGCTACGCATGGCCTGTCTGCAACGAACTTGAAACATTGTATCAATTAAGTTGGGTCCGACAAAGCTTGCACAAGCGAACTTGCAACATTGTATGAAATATTCTGGGCCCTCAAGAGTTTCCTGTGCCAGTGAGCTCGGGACAGACACAGCTGTAGGCTAGTTGCGCAAGGGATAAGAAGCAGTGCTTGGACTTGGACAGGAGCTCACCGGAGCTGAGTACCGACACCTCAAATGTTCTACTGATTGAGCCCCTGTTCCTCTTATAGAATACTAGCTCAAAAGTATTGTGGAGCTCCTGCACCTACATAAGCAGTACCAGCACCCAAAATGAGTACAGGAACCTATTTCAGTCCAAGTCAAGCACTGATAAGAAGTAATCAGGTAGGCCTATTTTATGACATTTCCACTGGATCAGAGCATGACATTTTTCTCTTTCACGCTGAGTGGTTATCCTAAGGGAGAGCTGGAAAGATTTTTCAACTACATTTTACATTTTTTGTCATTTAGCAGACGCTCTTATCCAGAGCGATTTACAGGAGTAATTAGGGTTAAGTGCTTTGCTCAAGGGCACATTGACAGATTTTTCACCTAGTCGGCTCGGGGATTAGAACCAGCGACCTTTCGGTTACTGGCACTACGCTCTTAACCACTAAGCTACCTGCCGCCTACATTGAGGAACTATGGTCATTCTCAATGGATGTAAAAACAGACTTTGTTCACTTGCGGTTTGAGTTGAAGAAAACATTACTTTGAGAAGCTCCACAGCTCATTAGTTGTGTTGTGTTAAGCCAAACAGAAATACTATCAGATCCCCAAATGGGCACATTTACGCCTACTTTTGCACACAGAACAGGTAGCATATAGGCCTACTTCACAGAACAGGTAGCATATAGGCCTACTTCACAGAACAGGTAGCATATAGGCCTACTTCTAAGCATAATCGGGTGCGCGTCCTTACACAACGTTGACAGCACTCCAAACAAAAGACAATGACTTAATTGAATTGACAAAACTCTTAAATGGAATTAAATAAACCTAAAATTGTTTCTCACAAGTGTAGCATAGGTTGTGCGCTCTTCAAACAATGTGTCCACTCCGACAACGAGAACGGTAAATGGAATAATAATATATTAACAGAAATTACCGTAACCAAACAAACATTGCAGATGAGAAATTATAGGAATTAACGGTAAATGTACTACTAGTGATATATGTAATGGGGAATTGATATACACTAACAATCAAACGCCAACAATTCACAAAATGAAGTTATGAAACAATTAATGTGCACAAATTGGCGGGAGAGAAGTGCATTCTGGGGAGAGAAGTGCATTCTGGAGAGAGAAGTGCATTCTGGAGAGAGAAGTGCATTGTGTATGTGGGTGCTGCATGGTCAATCTGACATCTGCATTGGCCATGCAGCCTTTACGGTGATAGGGCCTCTGCAAAAGTCAGGGCATTCAGTGCAGAGCAGTTGTGAAGGAAGTGAGTTTGTGTTTATACAGGATGTACCGCCCTCACCTACCATCAACCAATCATGTCAATGCGGAGCTATACAGTGCTCTCTACATTGTTACAACATTTGGGAGGCGCATGGCGATGCGGTACAGAGCTCGAGTTGGCCTCTGCATGCCTCTGGAGGCTCCGCAATTGCATCACACCCTCCATATGGAGCCACCGACCACATTTTCAGCTCAAGCATAAATTGGCTTTTAGTCTAGGCCTCGCGACGGATTAGTTCACTGAGATTGGCGCAAATACAAATATATATTATTTGCTACTGCTCGACAAAAAAATTAATCTGTCGACCAACAGCCTATCGGCCAAACGATCGACCAGTCGACTAATTGGTGTCAGCCCTAGAATGGACATAGGTGTAACCAACTACATTCACATGAGATTTAACTGTTTATGCTTGGCTAAGGAAAGGAACTGAACAGAGATCTGGACAAACCTCGATGTATGGCACCCCCATCAGGGTGAGCAGCTTCTTGCACTCGTCATTGTGCTGCCGGGTGACTTTCACCAGACGTTTACTGAACTTATCAATGTTCTCCTGCTCCCCTAGTGGTGAATAGGAAAATAGGTAGTCATTACACACAACGCCATGGTGTAATTTCTGTATGCATGCAAACATTATGTAAATCAATGTTTGTTTGGTGTGGGTGATTTGCTCTACCTGCTTCCTGGGCCTGGGCCAGCAGTTTCTCAGCCTCTGCTCTCCTCTCACCTCTCTTCTCCAGCTAGAACCACACACACAGACAGAGACAGACAGTGATTGACACATTGTTAAACATTTGAGTAAATACATGTTGACTAACCTTTTATCATACAGTCATTGATACAGAGTAAGTTAAAATGAAGTTTATTCTACATTCTGAATTGTAAAGGGACTGTTTGAAAAAATGTGTATCTTAAAGTTAGAGACAAGAGTGGAGGCTTGTCCAGTCCACACTCGGATTCATAGGGGCTAATGTGACCCCAGCCTGTCTCACCTCTCCTGACTTCAGCTGTGGGGGCTTGCCATCAAACACATAGACAGGCTTGATCCCGTGCTCAAGCATGCGGATGGTCCGGTAGAACATGCCCATGAGATGGCTGAGGATGCAAGAGAATTCACATGACAAAACTGACTGAAAATACCATATTAGAATGGGGTTAGACTTTGTTAACGTTATATATCGCACACATGCACGAGTAGATCAGTAGGCATGCGGGAACATGTAGCTAACTACCTACCTTGTGGTCTCTCCATCCTCGTTTTGCAGCACATTTCCATCCTGTCTGACGGCGACAAGGAATTGATACATACACATGGAGGCGTCTATTGCAATCTTCCGCCCTAAAGTAGTCAAGAGAACATGACAACATTGCAATGGCACGATACACTCCAAACAACCACTGCTTGACGAGAAAGCTTGGTTGCCAACAAAAATAACAGTAATTTTAGGTGGTTACCAAAGTAGTTCTTGATGTCTTGTTCTTTTATGGCAGATGGTGCCTGGTCTGCAATCAACTTTGCAAGCCCGTGAATTCCCATGGTGGAATGTTCTCTGCATAACAATGAATGCGAGAGGTAGCAGAGTGAGAGCAAGTTAGCTAACATCAGCAGCTAGCTAGCTATGCATTGTGTACAGGGAAGACTGCTTGTGTCCTCCTCGCGCTCTAGTATGAAATTTTACTTGGTGTTGCATGATAACATTTTAATGTTGATATTTTATGCAAAATTGACGTTCATAAAATACATATTTATCATGACTCACCGACTGTTCTACTCGTAACACTTTCCCGGAGTCCGCTGTTTCGGGCGCGAAGAAAATGCGTCAATTTCGCGCGAAATCCAAATCCAGGCATTACAAATCGAGTGTTCGAATAAAGCGGCATGAACTATCCTTCATCGATTGACCGATAACTGATTAAAATGCCTGTGTCTTTGGCAGAAAGTAAATAATCATATTTGATTGGTTAGTGAGGTTAAGGGAAATCCGGTCGAGAGAAACGTCAGTAATTCAGGAAACACATTACCGTTCTTATTATAGCTCAGTGCACAGGACACATCACAGCAGTGACTATGCACACACGAAATAATTATGTTTATTATATATTAATTTAAATGATAAAATATTAGGGGTTACTGAATAATCATTTGAAGATAGATGGCAAAGACAGGTTTAGAAACTCTGTAGTGGAGGTGTGTTTTTCTGCTTCTTCATCCCGCCCACTCCGGAAAAGTCAGCCGTCGTTATTTGTATTTTTTAAGGTGACGTGGTGGTCCCCTTCGATTCATGTGTCTTGAAAAGTACGATACATATCTGGATTTCTAGATAACCGAAGTAGCACAATTGAACCTAAGTAAAATATTAAAAATGTTTATCAATATTTAGATTAATCCCAGCAGGACATTGCTGAGGAGGAGAGAGGACGCGAGTAAGTATTATTGGGCCTGGAATCTGAGGAATCCAGCGGACAGAGAGGTTTGATACCATAGAAATAAGTATGTTCTAGAGCTAGTAGATGCACGGTACGATAGCTAGTTCCTCGATGTAGCTAGAGATCTTTAGATGAAAGCAAGTACTATGCATGTTTATGAAACTGTAATAACGTAGTTAGTAGAATCAACACTGACTACAGACTCTTTGCTTAGAGTTCACTCCTGCAATGCACTGTCGATGTGTTGTTGTTGTTTCACGGTAGCTAGGGACAGTTGCTATATGGGTGATGGCTGTTGAATTGGCTAAATACATGTACACTGAGCATACCAAACATGAGGAACACCTTCCTAATATTGAGTTGCCCTCAGAACAGCCTCAATTCGACGGGGCATGGACTCTACAAGGTGTCGAAAGCGTTCCACAGGGATGCTGGCCATATTGACCCCACAGTTGTGTCAAGTTGGCTGGATGTCCTTTGGGTGGTGGACCATTTTTGGTACACACAGGAAACTGTTGAGCGTGGAAAAACCCAGCAGTGTTGCAGTTCTTGACACAAACTGGTGCGCCTGGCACCTACTACCATACCCAGTTCAAAGGCATTCAAATATTTTGTCTTGCCCATTCTGAATGGCACACTTACACAATCCATGTCTCAAGGCTTAAAAATCCTTCTTTAACCTGTCTCCTCCCCTTCATCTACACTGATTTGAAGAGGATTTAACAAGTGACATCAATAAGGGATCATAATTTTCACCTGGTCCGTCTATGTCATGGAAAGAGCAGGTGTTCTTAATCTTTTGTATACTCAGTGTATATGAACCTATGGTGAAATGCTAATGTTTTGCAATAGTTTGCTATAATCACTGAATATGCGTCTAGGCTTTTTGACACTTGACCTGTTCAACTCTTGCGGTACTGTATTCTTAATAAATTGAAACTATTTATTTTCAACAGGGCTCATGATGGCTGAAATGGAACATCCTACCCAGCAAGGAGTCTGCAGGATGATAGGCTATTGCATCTTGGTCCTGTGTCTCCTACCACAGATGACATGGGCTACAGTGAGCTACAAGCAGGGGGATCCCGTAACCCTATACGTCAATAAAGTTGGTCCTTACCATAACCCCCAGGAAACATATCATTACTACATGTTGCCTGTTTGCAGGCCAAAAGAGGTCAGTGAATACATATGCATATGCAAATATATGACTAATGATTTTATGCTTGTACGGCTCTTCAGTTAAATTAAATGTATGTTTGCAGTACTGTATATTATATCTCTATTAGGACTTGGCATACAATGTCTGAGAACCTTTTTTCCCCAGGTGCACCACAAGTCCCTTAGTCTGGGAGAAGTGCTTGATGGAGATCGGATGGCAGAGTCCCTGTATGAAATCAAATTCAGGGAGAATACAGAAAAAAAGTCGCTCTGCCAGCTAAGATTAACAGAAAAAGAGGTATTTGCATTCGGACAAAATACACACAACTTCACAGTACATTGCATAAATGAAAGGTGTACCTGAGTCTAATTGGTGACGTTTTTCCTTTATGGCTCCTTTCTTGTAGGTGGACCAGCTCCGAGACGCCATAGAGGAGCTGTATTACTTTGAGTTTGTTCTGGATGACATTCCCACCTGGGGCTTTGTGGGGTACATGGAGGAGAGTGGCTTCCTGCCTCATAGTCATAAGGTGGATCAGTCGTTCGTCCTTTAGTTCTCTCTCCCTTTACATCCCAGTACAGACCCATGGCTTAGCCCAGATACATGTCTATCTGCTCTCACTGTGTGTCTGTGTGTCTGTCTGTGTGTGTGTTTGTGTACACAGGTGGGGCTGTGGACACACCTGGACTTCAACATCGAGTACAACGGCGACTCAGTGATCTTCGCCAACGTCTCAGTGAAAGACTCCAAGCCAGTGCCCCTGGAGGAAGGTGGCGGTGGTGCCGGACACGGGGCGGTGGGGACAGGTGGCGGGCTGGCACTGTCCTTCACCTACAGCGTGCACTGGTTCGAGAGCCCTCTGACCCACGCCCGGCGGGCAGAGAGGCTGAGGGACTACTCGTTCTTCCCCAAGACCCTGGAGATCCACTGGCTGTCTATCATCAACTCTCTGGTGCTGGTGGTGCTACTGCTGGGCTTCGTCATCATCATCCTCATGAGGGTCCTCAAGAACGACTTCGCCAGGTGACCAATTAGGGGACGGACTGGGGATGATTAGACATTGTAATGATACTCTGTTTCACCGGAGAGGTCATATTGGTATTGAATGCAACAGTTTGGGCATGTAAGAGTAGGTCTATTTGTGGCTATGAATCATGTTTAAATGGGATTATGTCTGGAAATGGTAGCTAAATTGTGTGGGAATTACTTTTCCATTGCTCAAGCTCTTTCTTGCTTCCTGTTGTTCCTGTAGGTACAATGTTGAGGAGGGCAGCTGTGACGATCTGGACCAAGGGGATAATGGCTGGAAGATCATCCACACGGACGTCTTCCGGTTCCCCCCTTATAAAAGCCTGCTGTGTGCCGTGTTGGGAGTGGGGGCTCAGTTTCTAACCCTGGCCACAGGTAACCATCAACACACCGGTTTAACACTCATAATCATACAATTACTGCCTCTCAGAATACAGAATCGTAATCCAGGAAAATCTAAGAGCAGATCAGGTTGAATTTGACCGTTTGTTTATGGTTGTGTGACGTTTGACACCTAGTTCTAGCGTTCAGCAAATGCGATCGCATTCCTTTCCCCTTGTTACTTCCCATTGCACGGGGATTGAATGTCTGTGTGACATAAGAACTGGAAATCTGATAAGCGCACACACACAGAACATGGGTGTGAATGTACACGGATATGCCAGTGACAAAGTAGTCAGTAGAAATTGAGAGGTATTGTTATCACGACAGACTCCTTCCCCCAAGCTCTCCCATTTGACCCCTGTGTGTCTTGTTGCTGTAGGGATCATCGTCATGGCGCTGCTGGGAATGTTTAACGTGCATCGCCATGGTGCCATCAACTCGGCTGCCATCATGCTGTACGCGTTGACGAGCTGCGTGTCAGGATACTGCTCCTGTAGCTTCTACACACAGATACATGGCCAGCGCTGGGTCTGGAATATCCTCCTCACCTCCTCACTCTTCTCAGGTGACTGGACAGATTTGGTCTTATGAATCATGCCATGCATATCGTAAATGTCATGTTATATTCCATATATATTTTTGTTAAGTCTGGTAGAGTTTCAATTACGATAAAACTTTTACACAGTATGTGTCTATTTACTTTTCAGCAGGATGTGTGTACAGTGCCTTGAACTGTTCAGTCTCAATTAACCTAAAGCTTCTCTGTCTCTTCTCTCTGTCTCTGCTTGCACCTGACTCTCTGCCCTCTCTTTCCCTCCCTCCCTCCTTTTCTCTCCCTTCTTCCCTCTCTCCACCCATCTCTCCTTGATACCCACCCTCTTTTCCTCCTTCCTTCATTCCCTCCCTCCCTGCCACCTAACCCTCCATCCCTCCTCCAGCTCCCCTGTTCCTGACTTGGAGTGTGGTGAACTCAGTCCACTGGTGGAGCGGCTCCACCCAGGCCTTGCCTGCCTCCACAGTGTTGCTGCTGCTGGGGGCCTGGGTCCTGGTGGGTTTCCCTCTCACCGTCATCGGGGGCATCGTGGGCAAGAACCAAGCAGGCAACTTCCAGGCGCCCTGTCGCACACGCAACATTGCCCGCCAGATCCCCACGCAGCCCTGGTACAAGCACATGGCCGTGCACATGGCCATAGGGGGCTTCCTGCCTTTCAGGTGTGTGTGTGTGTGAATGCGTGTTTGTTCCTAGTGAAATTAAGATCAATATAACACAGAGTTCCATTGCTGAATCGTGAGTCAGCGTTTTCCCCCGTCTCAGTTATACGACTGTCGCTCTGAGCTTGTCTAATCTCCCTTCGGTGGCAACGACTCATTACATATAAAACTAATCGATCACATTTTATTTGTGGTCTGGCTTTTTAGTAGCTCAGTTATTTGTCACAGAACACTGAACACCGACAATCCATCTATTGTGTATAGCCTTGTCTTGTTGCTAAACATTTCTCTCCCTTTCTCTATGACATAAAGAGTGTATATCCTGCCCAATCTCTCCCTCAGTGCTATCTCAGTGGAGCTGTACTACATCTTTGCCACCGTGTGGGGCCGTGAGCACTACACCCTGTACGGCATCCTCCTCTGCGTGTTCGCCATCCTCCTCTCAGTAGGCGCCTGCATCTCGGTGGCGCTCACCTACTTCCTGCTGTCGGGCGAAGACTACCGCTGGTGGTGGCGCAGCGTGCTGTGCACGGGTTCCACGGGCCTCTTCATCTTTGTCTACTCCGCGTTTTACTACTGCAACCGTTCTAGTATGAGTGGCCTGGTGCAGAGCGCAGAGTTCTTTGGTTACTCTCTCCTCACAGCGATGGTCTTCTCTCTCATGCTGGGAACGGTCTCCTTCTGGACCTCGCTAGTCTTCATTCGTTACATCTACCGCAGCCTCAAGATGGACTAAGGGAAGGGAATGTACACATAACGGCCCAGTTTGAATGTCTGTTTAAGGTTGGGTTCCCCTGCTCAGACATTGCATGCCACATCATTGACTGTGCTGTCGGGCACCAGATAACACGGAGGTGGTTAGCAGATGCGTTAAATACCTACCCAGGCGCTGTAAGATCTGGCGTGCGTCAGTAACTGGCGTGCGTCAGCCAAATGTGTGTCCTGTCATTTTGTTATTAAGGTAGTCAATCTGATTGGTGGAAACAAAGTGAAAGTGTTTGCTCAGCCAATCACATACAGGCCAGTGATTGCCTCAAGTGGGGATGGATGCATTTGGAAATGACTGTGATGGGGCTGTGTACACACCTCCTGTGGGGGGGGGGGGGAAACAGGATCCAGGGGCCTTCTAGAAATATGGATGAAAGACAGACTGCCATGAAGGCTGAAACAGGCTTTATCTTAAGGGATCTATAAGGGGATGGACGTATCCCGTGAGTATGCGAAAGTGTGAATGTGCCAGTGTGATGATGCAGCCTTGCAGTTTGGCAGAAGGATCAGTTCTAGAATAATGGCATGCCAGTGATGGCGCAATATTGTGTACTATATAGTTGCCATTGACTGAGTTTGGTTCCAATGTAAATACAATCTTTTCAATAAAGACATCTATTACAACTTTCCACTATAAAAATACTTACAATGAGCTAGCTATAGCGAGTAAGACGCAGCTGCAGTAAAGTTAGTCTCCATTTACTTGGGACAGCTTTGGGATTAATACAAAAGCAGCAAAGAATGAAAATGGCTGCTGAAATCCTATCCAATCAAAGTTACTGTTTACCTGTACGTCCCACTCTGAACATGGCTGCCCTCTTAATACCGCACACGTTGTAGAGGTCCAACCTCAAACCAAGTATCGAGTTAGTGTTTGCTGGGATAAGACATTCTTTATTTGTACACCCAGTCCAAAAACCCTGGTCAAAGCATTCGGTGTGGCTCAGTGTGGAGCTATTAACATTTATACCAGATCAGTTGGCAGGTTCACCAAACACATCTGCCTTTTTAAAAAAAAAAAAGGCCCTGTGTAATCAAGACAGAAAAGTAAATCCCAGCACCAAGACCACATCATTTCATTACAGGCGGCCTGTGCACCAACAGGGTTTATGATACAAATAGTAAAAAAAAAACATAACTTTTAAAATCTGGGAAATGTTCTGGGGCACAAAACATTGAAAACTGGAGAGGCAGTACTTGATTTTACCCAATCTGAACACATGTCAGTTCCAATACATTTTCCAGTTTTGGGCCTACTGAACAAAACCCTAACATGGAGGGCAAGGCAGTGCCACACACTTAAAACAAAACACATAGAAGTAATATTGAAGATCATACTGCTGCAGCTTGGAACCACAAACCCTCAGTGCAGTGAGAAGTGTCCCACGTAGCAGCAGTAGTTTAATAGTGATGGAATAAAACCTTGCCACTTCCAACAGACACAGCAACATTTTGTCAGAGTTGGGAGTGTCAAAGCACAAGGAGCAAAGAACCCTTCAACGATATTAAATACTCTGGTAAGAACTCTGGAAGGTATATAAAAATAAGGCCACTTTTTTTTGTGATAAAACATATGAACAAGGGATAAAAGTTCCTGCAAATGATTAAGATGGATTGATATAATTAGCCAACACCCCGGGCATCATTTGAGAATGACCAGTGTCTGAATCTCAACATTAATTGTAAGAATCTTTCAAAACAAATTGTAATACGTTTACAAAAACAACAGTCGATTTACCGCCGAGACGTTCACCTGTGTGGGTTATTGGCTAGCATAGTGAAAACAGGGTCATGCGCATGGAGCCGTTTGTGTGAGTAGGGTTCCCTTCGTCACTTGATGCTGGAGTGGTGTTTTACACTGCCCATGCTGTGCTGTAGAAACCATCTAGGTACTTAGTGGGTCACAGCTGGGGGCCAGTTTCCCGGGGGCTGGGGGGGAAAGGAGGATGGCTGAGGGTATCCACCAGTGTAGTAAGGCAGGTTCTGCTGAGGGCTCTTCTTGAACATGGCCTCTCGGAACTCTTGGTCCTGGCGCTGCGTTTGGGGTTCTCCCTGAAACTAGAAAAGAGAGATGGTGGTTAATATCACCAAAGGTCAGCGTGAAGCTAAAGCGCTGATGTGTGTAACGATGTTGCATCCTGCCGTTAAGACATTGTCCAGAATGGGGACAGGTCTCGTCACTATGTCCAAGCCTATTGCCTCTGTTACCGACCAACAGCATGCACAAGCTAGACAACTGGTGGAGCAATAATAGACTGTAGTTTGAGTTAAATATATAAATTTATTATAAATGCAAATTTAGTATTGTACAACATAACCAAACATTTCAACTAGGAAAGGAACACGTCTATTTTGCAGGTTTACACAGCATTATAATTGTGCTCACCTGAGGGCGTGGTGGCATGTTGAGGTAGCCAGCCGATTCCCAACTGTTGTCTTTCTGGTGCCTCTTCAGTTTCATCCTGCGATTCTGGAACCATGTTTTTACCTACAAGAGGGGAAAACACATGCATATAAATTAGTCCAACATCTGAAGCAAATACCAGCTAAATGTATGATTTGACACATTGGTGAAGAGTGGGTTTTGCTCATAACAGTAGGCTAATCAAGAAACGCACCTGTTTGTAAGTTAGCCCCGTCAGCTCAGCCAGGGCCTTCATCTCAGCAGGGGAGAGATACCTCTGCATGTTAAACCGATGGGTCAGGGCATCCATTTGGCCTGTTGAGAAAGCAGTCCGAGCTTTTTGTCTGGGGTTATTTTTGCCAGCTTTCTCTGGGAGAGAAGGGGGCAATGACTGCACGGCGTTGTCCTCACTCCCCATAATTTGTAAGCTTGTGTTCTCCTCTGGGTAGGAGCTGGAGACATGCTCACTACCATCTGGGCTTACACTGTCAGTCTCCTCGTCCAACTCCTTTTTCACACAGGTGGAAACGGGGTTGGCTTGAGGGTTGCTGTTCTCCGAACTCCAAGAATCTGAGCGAGAAATTAGGAGAGAAGGTTGTACACTTGTCGGTACATAGTCTGCATTTTGGCTTGGTTGAATTTGAACAGTTCACGATGACGCCACAGCGTGGCACCATTGTCCACGCAGTCAGACCAACCGGTAAACCCTCGCGCAACGGTGGACACTTTTGGCGGTTCGCAAGCACAAACATGTAGTTAGCAAGATGGCGTTTGATACAAACATACGGACCTTGTTTGAGAGGGAGATCGTTACTTTAGCCAGAGACCCAGCAAATGCAAGTACAGTACAATAACTACCACTGTGTCGACAATACATTTACATTTTAGTCATTTAGCAGACGCTCTTATCCAGAGCGACTTACAGTTAGTTTTCATACAGTCTGCTTCATAGACAAACTACCTAGAGTACGGTAGGCCATATTTACAAGGAAAGACACCTGCTCTTAACCAGCTAGCACAAAACAACCAATGTAATGTTAACTAACTTGGCTAGCTATTTACCTGGTGATCTGTGCGACTCGGATTCGCTTGGAGTGTTGCTACTTGGCTGTTCCGTCTCCTTCGGCCGCTGATCATATGGAGGCCGGTTATGGGAAATGAAAAGGCGCCCACTCGGAGTATGGCTGTGAGGGTCGCCGAGATACATGACAGAACCTGGGTAGTGGGAATTGTTAGCTCCAATGTTGTATTCGGGACTCTTGGGTGGTGATTGATGCTGCGCTTGCAAGTGGTAGCCGCCGCTGACCCCAGAGTTGTACACCGCCTCTGCCCAGCCGGAGAAGTTGGGATGATTTTGCTCAGCCCCTGCTTGGTACATGAGACCATAGGCAAAGCCGTGGTAGGATTGGTTGTAGCTTACTGGTAACTTCCAATCTGCCATTTCTTCCACTGGCCCTCTTCTTTGCAAGCAAGAAATGTCCAAACTTGTCACGGTCGCCCAAAAAGCCACACACAAAAAAAAATAGAGGATGCTGCAGCTAACCTTGCAGAATTTTTATAGCTTCTTGGTGTAGCTAGCTAGTATAAACTAACTTTACCAACACCTGGAAACCACCAAAGTTGTAGTAGTAACAGCGTTTCCCTTGCATTGAAGAAATAATTTTAATATTGTACTCGCCATCGATTCTGGGGTGGTATTTATAGGGAAAGGTGTGGGTCAGGTCTCAGCCATTCCGGTATCGTGGCGTTGAGGCCGCGCCCCTTGAAAGGTCCATTCAGAAGAAATGACATGTATTTATATTTAGTCTTTAATCATTTAATCACTCCCCTAAAGTTTTACTGTATTTCTTGAACGAGTCATTTGAAGAATCAAAATAGTTTTCTCAGAATGTTTTTTAAAATGTATTTGGCAGAAACTATTTGATGGTTGGTTTATTTTGGTGCAATTTATTAGTCATTATCCAACATATATATCAGATATCCGTAAAATCATCACCATTTATATTTTAAAACATATATGAGTTCAAAAGTTTCATTAATAAGAAGTCACACAATGAGTGGACACTTAATGGTCAAAGTATTTTGTAATAGTGTGTCTGTGTAGTATATCTCACATTTCATCCCCTCTTCACCTTGAAAAGACTACGTTTGATTCATGTGGTGGTAGTTTAGTGGTTAAGAGCGTTGTGCCAGTAACCGAAAGGTCGCTGGTTCTAATCCCCGAGCCGACTAGGTGAAAAATCTGTCGATGTGACCTTGAGCAAGGCACTTAACCCTTATTGCTCCTGTAAGTCGCTCTGGATAAGAGCGTCTGCTAAATGACTAAAATGTAAACTTTAATGAGTACAGTTTTGTGCAGAGTCTGCTTCTCTTATATTTTAACTTGATAGGCCCTACACAATTTTTATAGTCAACTTTTGAATTGTTAACACTATAAGTGACATGTCAATCATAGTGTCATATCACTTCTATGTGTAGGCCTCATTTATAACACATGTCAATCATAGTGTCATATCACTTCTATGTGTAGGCCTAATTTATAACACATGTCAATCATAGTGTCATATCACTTCTATGTGTAGGCCTCATTTCTAACACATGTCAAACATGATTACATTTCTCCTCGGATCAGAATGTTCATTCTCTTACATCTCTGCCATAAAGTGTCTCTTCAGAGCTGTCCCATTGTTGTTCAGGTAGCCTCAAGGCAATAGGGACCTCAACTGCTGGTGGTGCATTATGCTTGAATTATAGAGAAAGGCTACAAAAATGTGTTTAGCAATGGTGGCTGTGAGTGGTAGAAATACTGTAGATGTATTCATTTAACCTACAGAAATTTATTGAATTTGCTATTGGAATTCAATGCCAACATTGACTAGTATGTATCCTACAGACTGTTTTAATCTCCCAAGTTTTGCCCAGACATAGGACATAGACCCGGGTCAGGGGACAACTCCACTTGGTTAGATGTGATTATCACTCCATTATTTAATCTATAGGTCTTGTAATGTATCTGTATTGTTTGGCTTAAAAGTGCAAATTGAAGCCAGAATCTACATGTCTCTCACAGTGTGCTGTTGACCATGCTGTACAACTCAAACACAAGGTAGGTGATCACTGATCACTTTCTACCTGAGCCATTTTCCCTCCTCAAATACAGATTTTTGTTGCTCACTTCGGGCAATTTGGAGACAATCGGCTACAATGGCTGGACATGTAGACAATCGGCTACAATGGGTGGACATGTAAATGCAGTCAACACCTGGTAGCAATGCTTTCACAAACGGGACCAAACTGGCCCAAGAATTACCATTCAAATGCTTGTTTTTAGTCTACCTCCTTGGCTGCATTGAACTTGTAATTGTTCAGTTAGTGGTGAAAATATGTGATAATGTTGAGCCTATGGGACTATTAGCATAGCTACTGATCTTTACCTGGGCAGAGTGAGTTGATAGGTGTGGGGTGTGTATGTGTTTTGGGGGGGGGGGTAGTTGTGGGGGTAGGCAAGTGAATAGAAGATGTAGCTAAAGTAGTATCCTAAATGCATTTAGTATTTAAATCATAGGGCTATTTTATTTGAATTGCATTTAGTATCCTTTGTAGATGCCCAAAACAACATGGACAAATGTAACTGCATGTTATGGCATAGGTCAGTGTGTCGTATATCTATTATCAGCAGGTCTTTATTTGATTGTTAAAAGGTGAAAATAGGATTGTGTGGAAGTCTTGTTTTGTTTTGCTGCACCAAGGGAGAAATACCTATTATTAAAAAAAGTGAGTTCCTCACCTTGTGCATACAAAAAATATTGTGCCAATGAAAACAACAGCTAGGAACAGGAATCTCGGTAAGGGTGGCAGGTAGCTTAGTGGGTAAGAGCGTTGTGCCAGTAACCGAAAGGTCGCTGGTTCTAATCCCCGGGCCGACTAGGTGAAAAATCTGTCGATGTGCCCTTAAGCAAGGCACTTAACCCTAAATGCTCCTGTAAGTCGCTCTGGATAAGAGCGTCTGCTAAATGACTTAAATGTCAGGCACGTTGTTTTTTCGGTAATGGATTTCTTCAGTGTCACGGTGTGAGACGAGGGACGCTCTCTTTTGTTGCCTAAAAGTGCAAATGTACACCTCATACTACTATGCATGTCAATTGAGACATGCTCAACTACAACAACAACGTTTTTACAACTTGAAAACGTGTAGAATTAGACATGCACTCATGCAACAATATTATACTGTAGTTTGCTCACTAACAATGGTGATCATGTTTGCCCTCCGCCCAAAAGCAGGCGCTGTACACTTGTGTAACTGGTTTTGGTGTGTATTTCAATATGTGCCCTTAACACTGTTCACGTGGAACACTCCATGGTTTGGTACTGTCCCGCGTGGCAATTTAATGGAATGAACCAGACTGGGATTGACACTCGAACCTCAACCGCCGCCTATTTGGGTTCCTAAAACCGGTGGAGAACATTTAGCCATAACTATTTTGATACGCTAGCTAGCAAAGTTGCTAACTAGTTAGAGATAATTAGTTGACGTATGAGTCGAGTTAGCGCACTGTCTAAACTTGACCATTCAGAGCGCTCTCCCAGTTTAGCCCTGTCAAGGATCATATTTTAGCGTGACAGTTTGCGCATAATTTTGAATAATAACATAAAATCTCAGAAGCACTGAGATTTTGGAAGAGCCAAGATGTCTGGGGAACTAGAGCAGATTCTCTTACAGCTCACGCAGCCTGACAATGCGGTTATTCAGCAGGTAAGGAGTGGACTCTCCTGATTGAGCCTGTGAAATTGGGATTGACAGTTAACGTTACCCTGGCATGCTTTGGTAACAAGCACCAACCGGCTATCTAACGTTAACTGTTAACGTTAGTTATCAAAAATGGACAGCTATTGCTAACGTAACGTTAGCAAGCCAAATTATGTCACGAACGAGTGTGGCTAACAGACAATTATTTTCCTACACTGTCCATCACTTTATAAACTTGACAGTTCACTAACGTTTTAGCTGCCTGGCTAACTTTCTTTATTCAGTTAGTATTCGCCATATCCAACATGTTTTTTCCCTACAGGCCACCGCCCAGTTGAAGCTGGCTTTTAAAGACCCAGCCATCATCCCAGCGTTGTGTGCTGTCATGACTGGGTCCCAGAACTCACAGGTATGTAGGTTACACATGAGTTACACTAACACTTTTCATCTGTGTGAAGATGCCAGCTATATGTGATATATATGTGGAACCCAGGGGTTTGCATGTGGTGTTCTCTTTGTGCGGCTTATTGCAGGCTCTCATCAGAGAATTAATTGTTGTTCCCCCCCCCCCTCTCATCAGATCCGCCAGTCAGCCGCAGTAATGTTGAGGATGAGAGTGAAGAAGCATTGGAAGAAGATTAGCCCTGATCACAGAGAGAGGTTGGATGCCCTTTGTTGTCTAATTCCCCAGCAATCAGCCATTTTCAAGTCCTCTGTATTGGACTGTTGAATTAAGTTTGATTTGTTTTACATTTCCATTGTATTTGAGATGGGGTTTTTCTTTCTTCATAGTCTGAAAGCAGTGGTCCTACAAGCTTTCCAGCAGGAGACAGAGTAAGTATCTTTGATCCTTTACATAAAAACACAGTCACATATTTTTTTTGAGGTGGAAAACTAGACATACTAGAAATACAATGGGTTATCATACAGATGTATAGCTAGAAGCTATATCGGACCATAACCACTAACTCATCCGTACACACCAATTAAACTTGCTACATCTGAACTTGACAATAACACCTGTCTCTGTTTCCAGACACGCAGTGCGCCACTCCCTCTCGCAGCTCAGTGCAGTGATGGTCAAACACGAGACGCCAGACCGCTGGCCTGCTCTATTCGCACTCCTTAACCAGTCCACCAAGAGCAACAACCCAACGGACAGACAGGTACCAGCTTCTATAGGTAGAACTAAAACACTGCAACCTATTAGTTGTAATTCATGGGATAATAAAGAATGACTTCCATTGGCTTGTCCTGACAACGTAAACACAGAGAGGTTGTGCTGTATGTGGATTTGATTGGAGCTCTTGATGGTTGCTCACTGATTGGTCAGGATATGCATAGATCAAAATGTTTCTCTCAGGTGGGTCTACTCTTGCTCAGCAAAGTGGTGGAGTCCAACCCGGAGTCCTTCAAGCCCCACTACCGCCAACTGCTGCAGCTGTTTGGCACCGTGCTGCAAGACCTGGACAACCCCACAGCCATGTACTACAGCATCCTCACCCTCACTGCTATGACTGCCTACACTGGCACAGAGGAGATGGTGAGGCCAGAATCAATCTATTTGATGCCCTTTTGGAGTGAACAGAAGTTTAGTCTACCAGTATCCTTCATGGCTGTGTTGAAATGGAATATCTTGTGTCTTTCAGAACCTAATGCGCTCCCTCATCCCAACACTGATCATTGCTCTCAAACACCTCATCAAGGCAGACCAGGTAGGGGATAGTTCAATATGTCAGCCCTTAATAGCTGCACTGATGATTGCACCAGTCTTCAGGGATGACTGTTAAATGGAGCCTTGAAAGCACTATTGTCCCAGTGAGGCCATGGAGGTGTTATTGGACTGTTTCTATGTGTTGACCAGGATCAGGCCAGTGAGGTGTTATTGGACTGTTTCTATGTGTTGACCAGGATCAGGCCAGTGAGGTGTTATTGGACTGTTTCTATGTGTTGACCAGGATCAGGCCAGTGAGGTGTTATTGGACTGTTTCTATGTGTTTGACCAGGATCAGGCCAGTGTGGTGTTATTGGGACTGTTTCTATGTGTTGACCAGGATCAGGCCAGTGTGGTGTTATTGGACTGTTTCTATGTGTTGACCAGGATCAGGCCGTGTGGTGTTATTGGACTGTTTCTATGTGTTGACCAGGATCAGGCCAGTGTGGTGTTATTGGACTGTTTCTATGTGTTGACCAGGATCAGGCCAGTGAGGTGTTATTGGACTGTTTCTATGTGTTGACCAGGATCAGGCCAGTGTGGTGTTATTGGACTGTTTCTATGTGTTGACCAGGATCAGGCCAGTGTGGTGTTATTGGACTGTTTCTATGTGTTGACCAGGATCAGGCCAGTGAGGCCATGGAGGTGTTGGATGAACTGATGGAGAGTGAGGTTTCCATCATTGTCCCACACATCGCTGAAATTGTCCACTTCTGCTTGGAGGTGAGAACAAGAAGCTCTAATAATATTTCTAATGACTTTTAGCTTATATGCCATTGTAGGAAATGTCATGGTTTGTCTTGTTGACAATGAAATGTGTACATGTGTGTCTCAGGTCAGTGCAGACATCACTTTGACTGACTCCCTGCGTGTGAAGGCTCTGTCCTGCATCGCTTTTCTCATCCGACTCAAGAGCAAGGTAAAGTCACCCGATATAAATGGATGCCCTACATTCACCCTCCAGTGAGCTTGTTTGTCCTTAAATTGAGGTATATGTCAATAATGTCTCTCAAGTGGCGTCATCCCATGTCTCCTTTCCCCCTTCTCACCAAATAAAAGGACAGGTGAACGCAAATTCCCTAGCCTGTGTTTTCAGAGGAGAGGAAACCACTTCAGACCATAGAGATGAACCTTTCTCCTTAAAATATGTGGAGCTTGTCAAGTGATGTATGCTTGGCTGTTCTCTCTCTCCCCTTCAGACAGTGTTAAAGCAGAAGTTGCTCAATCCCATCCTGCAGACAGTGTTCCCCGTGCTGAGTGCAGCGCCCCCACCTGGGGAGGAGGACCCTGAGGACGAAGAGAACAGCAATGAGGACGACACTGACAACGAGAGTCCCAAACACTTTGCTGCTCAGGTCAACTTCCCTTCTGTTGTTGGACTGGCATACAGCAAAGAAAATAAAGAATAGCAGAATATAATGCACAGAAAATAGGGGATGTTGTTTTGGAGAGCAACACATTTTGTGTGTGAATTTTAATGTCTGTTTGAAATAGAATGTGTTTTTGTTTGCAGGTTATTGACACCATGGCTCTTCACATGCCCCCTGAGAAACTATTCCACCAACTGGTTAGTGAACACACTCACTTCCTTCATATATCATTTGCCTGCCAATCAGTCAATTCAATTGACGTTATTATCATCTCCGTGACGTAGTGGTATGATTGTAGCAGCAGCAATATTTATTACTAATTTGCGGTCTTGTACTGAGGTACACCAATTTCCATGCATAGAAGTACATATGGTTTTATTAAGTATGTATGTCTGACCCATGGTGTGTCCATCAGATGCCGCTGACTCAAGCGTGCCTGGCCAGTGAGAACCCTTATGAGAGGAAAGCTGGCCTGATGTGTCTGGCAGTGTTGGCTGAGGGCTGTGCCGACCACATACGGACCAAGTGAGTCCCCTGTGCAATGCTGTTTCTGATGTTTATTCAGTGGCTTCCTGTCCAAAAACCAGTTTATTAAATGTTTTAAAGTTTTACACCTGGCAATGTCCTTCAGTGTGTGAGGTAGCTATAAACCAGAGGCATGGTTTGACTTTTTCCGATTATTCAAATGGTGAGATTGTATGTTTCCTGCTAATCCCACTCTGTCTGTCTGTCTGTCAGGATGCTGGCCTCCATGTTGCAGACAGTGTGCCAGAGTCTGTCAGACAGTAACCAGGTGGTCCGCAGCGCCGGCCTCTTTGCCCTGGGACAGTTCTCAGAGCACCTGCAGCCCGAGGTCAGTAAGTACTGTGCTGAGCTGATGCCTCTGTTGCTGGGCTACATGTCTGCTCTGAACCAGGCCAAGATCGGACACGTCACCAAGGCCTTCTACGCCCTGGAGAACTTCCTGGAAAACCTGGGTGAGGATCCTCCCGTTCACGTTATCCTGATCCACACCCATCTCTCTTGCTATTATTTGGTTCTGTTATGTTCTATAATAGAATGCTAAACTGTAGCTAGGTAAACAGTCACTGACTCTCTTGTTCTTTAGTCTCGTCCTTAGACTACTTTTAAAGAACCCATAAGATGAGGTTGAATTAGTCTTCTCCTCTGTTCTGTGCTGATGTTTTCACTAACAGTGTTTCATCACCCTATCAGGGTCGGAGATCGAGCCCTATCTGCCCACCCTGATGGAGACCATGTTGTCTGCCCTCAGCAACGCAGAGAACCTGAAGCTCAAAGAGCTGGCTGTCAGTGCCATAGGAGCTATAGGTAACACACTGCAAAAGTCCATTTAGGATTGGGCCTTTCAACAGAGCATGTTACATCTCAATAATCTAGCTCTTGTGTCTTCCTTCATCCACACTGATCTGAAAGGTAAAAGGTAGTCCCGGTTGTTTTAAAAACGATCCTATGTTTTCAGATCAGTGCAGATGGAGAGGACACAAGTATAGGAAGGCACTTGAGACTGTCGAGATGCAAGTGGTGTGTGTATATCACTAACTGTATTAACCCTTCATCCCTTCTCTTCCTTTCAGCCAATGCAGCCAAGGAGAAGCTAGTTCCTTACTTCCTGCCTGTCATTGAGAGTCTGAAGGGCTTCCTCACTGACACCAGGGATGAGATGAGGGCTCTGCAGACACAGGCTCTGGGTAGGCTAACTATCTCTAAGGCTTAGTCAGTTTGATGTGGTCACTCAGCAGACACTTTTAGTCAATACGACTGACAGCTTAGATTTGATAGTATACTGTATGTTGACCCTGGTAGGTTTCAAACTTAAAACTCTCATATTTCATAGCACTGTGCTCCAACTAACTGAGCTATCAGAACCCGTCTTGTGTAGTAAAGATTACTTAACTGTGAGTCACCTGTGAATGGGGATTGATAGGTATACATTGTCCTTTCAGATACTCTGTCAGTGTTGGCCCGCACCATAGGTAAGGAGGTGTTCAGCCCCCTGGCTGCAGAGTGTGTTCAGCTGGGACTCAATCTCACCAACGCCATCGACGACCCAGACCTGCGCCGCTGCACGTACGTGGTTAACGGGTGTCTGTGTGTGTCTGAGATACTCACGCTCTCTAGTAGAAGTCCTGCCAGCCTTTTGGGGTGGGCTTTCAGAGTTCATGGCTGTTTTCTGACTTGTTGATGACTTTGTGTTGGATCCATCTCTCCATCTTCCCCCCCCCCCTCTGTCTCTCTCTCTGTGTGCAGGTACAGCCTGTTCTCGGCCGTGTCCACAGTGAGTCCAGACTGTCTGAACCCCCACCTCACTGCCATCACCACCATCATGCTTCTGTCCCTCAAGTCCACAGAGGGAGTCACGGTCAGTCAATGGGCTTCATGGCTCCAAACCCTTCCTATTATCACCACTCAGGACTTGGCAGTGTATTCCATTTCAACTCAGCCAATTCAGGACGTTAAATGAAATGCATGAATTAAAAGTCCACAGATACATAATGGCATTTTCAATGGACTGAATTGAAATGGAGTTTATCCTGGTATGTCTGAAAGAATATATCCTCTGATGAACTCTTTATTTTCTCCCTGATCAGGCTCACCTTGAGGAGGACAAGGCGTTTGTCCTGCTGGATGATGATGATGATGATGATGATGATGACGAGGCTCAGGGTGACACCATTTTGGATGACGAGGTGACTGACACTGTGGACCCAGACATCGCCGGGTACGTGTCTGAGATGATGGTCTTTTTTTGTTCAGGCACAATGCAAAGGTTCCCAAAGCAGCCTTCAAGACAGCTGTCATAAAAGGTGTCAATTGAAAACATGTTGTTTTTCCGGAACTGAGCTAGGCAGAGGGACCTCTCCATCCCCATCCTAATCCGTGTGCTCTCTCTCCATTCCCCAGGTTCAGTGTAGAAAACGCCTACATTGATGAGAAGGAGGATGCCTGTGATGCCCTGGGAGAGATTGCCTTCAACACCGGGTAAAGACTCAAGAGCATAGAGATCTTTAGTGGTGGTTGTCAGCCATGCAATCTCCATAGACAAACAATGGCAGTAGAATGGCCTTACTGAAGAGCTCAGTGACTTTCAATGTGGCACCGTCATAGGATGCCACCTTTCTCGACAAGTCGGTTCGTCAAATTTCTGCCCTGCTTGAGCTGCCCTGTTAACTGTAAGTGCTGTTATTGTGAAGTGGAAACGTCTAGAAGCAACAACGGCTCAGCCGCGAAGTGGTAGGCCACACAAGCTCACAGAACTGGACCAATGAATGCTGAAGCGCGTAGAGCGTAAAGATCATCTGTCCTCAGTTGCAACACTCACTACCGCGTTCCAAACTGCCTCTGGAAGCAACGTCAGCACAATAACTGTTCGTTGGGAGCTTCATGAAATTGGTTTCCATGGCCGAGCAGCCGCACACACTCCTAAGATGACCATGTGCAATGCCAAGTGTCGGCTGGAGTGGTGTAAAGCTTGCCCCCATTGGACTCTGGAGCAGTGGAAGCGCGTTCTCTGGAGTGATGACTCATGTTTCACCAACTGGCAGTTCGGCGGACGAATCTGGGTTTGGCGGATGCCAGGAGAATGCTACCTGCCCCAATGCATGGTGCCAACTGTAAAGTTTGGTGGAGGAGGAATAATGGTCTGGGGCTGTTTTCCATGGTTCGGGCTAGGCCCATTAGTTCCAGTTAAGGGAAATCTTACAATGACGTTCCAGACAATTCTGTGCTTCCAACTTTGTGGCAACAGGTTGGCCCTTTCCTGTTTCAGCATGACAATTCCCCCATGCACAAAGTGAGGTCCATACAGAAATGGTTTGTTGATCGTTGTGGAAGAACTTGACTGGCCTGCACCTGACCTGTTCGATGAGTGGGTGTCCACATACTTTTGGTCATGTAGTGTATTTCCCCTCATATACAATGTCAGCACTTTGAGCACTGGGAAAAGCGTCAAGTCCATTAGTAGTTACTGTCTTTTTCTTTCCTGTTCACCCCTTCAGTGCTGCCTTCCAGCCCTTCCTGGAGTCCAGCTTTCAGCAGGTCTATGAGCTGCGTGATGTAAGTACTGTAGCGCTGCTCATCCACCCCCTCTCCCTCTGTGTAATGAGCCATGAAGGGCATTCAGTCAGTGTGTGTGTGTGTGTGTATCTGACCATGCATTCTGTGTCCCCCTCCCCTCAGTTTCCCCACGAGGATGTGCGCAGGGCTGCCTTCGGGGCCATGGGCCAGTTCTGCCGAGCTCAGCACAAAGTGTGGCAGGAGAATCCCACTGAGGCCAACCACCAGGGTATCTCGCTCACGCTCTCTCTGTGCACATCACATATATCTATACCTCTCTTGCTCTCTCTCTCTCTTATATTTATCTCTCTCTCTCTCTCTCTCTCTATACCTCTCTCTCTCTCTATACCGCTCTCTCTCTATACCGCTCTCTCTCTATACCTCTCTCTATACCTCTCTCTATACCTCTCTCTCTCTATACCTCTCTCTACCGCTCTCTATATCTCTTTACCTCTCTCCCTCTATACCTCTCTCTACCTCTCTCCCTCTATACCTCTCTCTTTATACCTCTCTCTCTCTCTACTTGTCTCTCTCTCTCTCTCTCTCTCTCTCTCTCTCTCTCTCTCTCTCTCTCTCTCTACCTGTCTCTTTCTCTCTGTCTCTCTCTCTCTCTAAAACTAAAAATAGAATTGTGCTTCTCTTCCTCCGTCCATCCCTCAGCTCTGCAGAAGCTGCTGGGTGTGGTACTGCCCAGCTTCCTGGAGGCGGTCCACAGTGAGCGTGAGCGCCAAGTGGTGATGGGCGTGCTGGAGGCCATGAACGCCGTGCTGAAGGCCTGCCAGGGGGAGGCACTGCAGAGCCCCGGGCTCCTGCAGGAGATCAGCCAGGCCATCCGAGACGTGCTCAAGAAGAGGGTGAGCCCAGACCAACCAAGCTGGGCCTGAGCGCACTTCAGACTGGATCTCCCAGATTAATTAATTGAGGATATCTGAAATCAGGATATGTGTTTGTATTTATTAAGGATGCCCATTAGTTCCTGCCAAGGCAGCAGCTACTCTTCCTGGGGTCCAGCAAAATTAAGGCAGTTATACAATAAAAAAAACATGACATTACATTTCACAACACATTATGTGTGTTCCCTCAGGCCACTACTCTACTACCACATATCTACAACACAGAATCCATGTGTACGTGTGTGTGGAGTGTGTATGTTATCATGTGCCTGTGTGCTTCTCTTCAGTCCCTGCTGTTCCAGAAGGTGTATTTTTATCTGTTTTTGTTACAGTGGACTACAGAGCGTCATAGCCTAAAATGTCTACAGTAAAAATAGGAAAATATTCTGATAAGCCTTTGACCTTTGACCCCCCCCCCCCGTCCCCCGTCTCTCTACAGACTGTCTGTCAGGACGGAGGAGGAGACGAGGCAGAAGATGACGAGCAGCAGGTGGGATTTCCTCTCTTTTATCACACTCCATCACTGGCAGGATCGGCTGTACTTTCAAGTCTATGGTGTGCGTGATATGAACGTGGTGCGTATGATATGAACGTGGTGCGTATGATATGAACGTTTTAGGCGGAGTACGACGCCATGCTGCAGGAGTTTGCAGGCGAGGGGATCCCCCTGCTGGCCTCTGCCGTCCCAGCGGACACCTTCCAGCCCTATCTCAATGAGCTGCTGCCGCTCATCATGAACAAGGCCGTGAGTCCCACTACCCTCACTACACCCTTTCTCCCTTAGCATCGTGTTAAAATAACAATAAGTCATTAACTCCAGTTGACAAGCCATCCATATAGACATGAATAGACCTAATTCCTAGTTCATTTTGTGTTGAAATTCTACAATTTATTTTGAGTTTGCAAAAAAAAGTCACCATAAGCACAGAAAGGATAAACCTTTAGTCAGATACGTAGTTAGATTGAGTTAGATATGTATTGAATGGGTGGATTTGTTCCTCTTCCTCTAGAAGTCGTCGTGCACGGTGGCTGACCGTTCCTTCTCCGTGGGTACGCTCGGAGAGATCCTGCAATCCCTGGTCAACGTGTCTGGGGGCAGGGCCTGTGCCGGCAAGCTGTCCAATCAGCTGCTGCCTGTCCTGGTGGCTGGGGTGAGAGACAGCGACAGTGAGGTTCGCAACAACAGCGTGTTTGCACTGGGAGCTATGGCCCAGGCTGCTGGACCCCTCGTCGCACAGTATCCCTCAATAATGATGAAGTGTATGTGTATGTGTGTGTGTTCAGGATTGATCACTGATAACTCCATGCTATGGTTCAGATGAGTAGCTAGACCCATTGACCAGCACTGACCATATCATTAGAATCTGTTACTATTGTATTGACCTGTCCCAGAAGAGCAGGGTCTTTTCCTCAACTCCTGTCCCTCCCAGAGACTACCCCATGATGCTGGCCCTCTTCTCCAACCTGCTGTCCAAAGAACAGGACAGGAGGGTGATTGACAACCTGTGTGCTGCCCTCTGCAGGATGATCATGAGCAACATGGAGGGCGTTCCTCTGGAACAGGTACTGTCTATGCACGTTCGTTCATGGGATTTAATACCGGGCCACTGCCTAACTGGAGGTGTGTGCAAGACTCTGGAAGATTTGGGCCCTCTGAGAATATCTGCGACCTGTGTCTGTAGACTTGTCTCCAGTTCTTTAATGTCCCAAATGCTGTACGTTAGATTTACAATGTAAGAGTTTGCCACAGGCTTATTGACATACAGACACATAAGTTGATGAACTGAGTGTCCTCGGTGATGCTCGCTTAGCTAACTCCTCTCTCTGTCCGTCTGTCCGTCCGTCTGTCCGTCCGTCTGTCCTAGGTGTTCCCTGCCCTCCTGGCTCGCCTCCCTCTGAAGGAGGACATGGAGGAGAATAAGACTGTGTACAGCTGCTTGGCCATGCTCTACTCACAGAACCCTGCACTGGTACGATGATCTTCCATGTTGACTAATGTCATTGTGTTGTTACATACCCATCTGTTGTATTTTAGTACTGATATTTATATGTTGTGTCCTTAGGTCCTGAGTCACATTCAGCCAATAGTATCTGCTTCCAGCCACGTCCTGGGAACCAAGGATCTTGACACAGGCGAGAACTTTAAATCCAGACAGGTTTCCTCACCTCGTTGTGTAGCAATTTTGTCTTATGTGGATATAACAACGTTATAACAATGTAATAACAATGTTTTGTCTTATGTGGATATAACAACGTTATAACAATGTAATAACAATGTTGGACTTTGTCTTCCAGAAACCCAGAACACCCTGGTCATGCTGCTCCGAGACGTCGCTCAGCGCCACTCCCAGGAATTCGAGGGCGCCATGAGGTCACTTCCTGCTGAGCAGAAGATGAAGCTGACAGGGGCCGTTAGCCAATCCTAGCACACCCCGCCAACCAGCTCTTCCACTCCAGTCAAAGCCAGCGAAATGTAGGATTTGTTTTACTACAGATAACAAATGGGACAGTAGTTGGAACACGTTCAAATTGGGAAAACTCCAGCAAATTCCTGCACTTGAACCATTCTACTATTAGTATTCTATAATTATTCAGAGGTTATGTTCCAAGCATTCACTTTTTAATTTATATTGTCTGTGCTTTTTTTAGAATTATTTTTATAATGAAATGTGATTTCATTTTTTTGTGTCACTAGAATGTTGTTTTGTTTGTTTGTTTCTAGTCTGATACCAGTTTAACCTTGTTGTAACTGTGAACCTCCCATCTATTTGCTGCTGTCCCCCTTTAACCACACATTTGATCAACTGGCATGACTAGTATTGAGTGTGAAGCAATGATCTGAACTCATGATAAATGCCTTTTTCTCAGACTTGTCGGTGTCACGCACTGTTCTCTGCCTTTCCCCTCACGTGTTATCAAACCCCTTTTTTTCCCGGTACCATTGTTTCTCTTTCCGCTGTCCCTCATTCAGAGAGCTTCCCATCGTGCTTAGTAAGGTGGTTTTGTGAATCGGTGCAAATCTGCCACAATGCGCTCGTGACCTCCAGGGCTCGTGACGTCCAGGGTGTGCATATTGTCCAGGTCTTCCTTTGTGCCCAAATGACAGGATTATAATGACTTATTTTATTTTTATTTTTTACATCGGACACAATTGGCATCATATGCTTGCTTACACATAAACACTCAACACACTTGCCTAACAGCTTTTATTTTTTTTATTTTTTTTTACATTTTAGTCATTTAACAGACACTCTTATCCAGAGCAACTTACAGTTAGTGAGTGCATACATTTTTTTTTCTGCTGGGTTCAGCAATCAAATCTACAAACATGTCTTCCATTTTTTTTCTGAATTATTCATTCTGTTTCATTCTATCAAGCTCTTTTAGCCCACAATCAGTAACTAATAGTTACATCACCTACTGAAATCCATCTTGATTGTGTATATTACAAGCAATAGCTGGACAAACCAAGTCTATAGAGACGCAAAATATTACATAGCAAACAATGTTTATAAAATAATATTACAACAAATACTTGGAAAGAAATATATATATATAAGGCACGATTTAGATCAGGGATGTGCAACTGGCGGACCTTTTTGAAGGCCCTCGGATCAATTTCCTTAGTTGGGGTCTCAACTTACTCTTGCGAGTTAAAATAGTAGAATATACAAGGTGCGATTTTGAAATTTGTCCATCAGCAGTTTTCCATCAATTATCCCATGTCAGCTAAAATGTTTAAGATTGGTAAATTAATCTAGCGGCCAGCCATCTAAAGTTGTAGTGATCATGGTCGAATTAGTGGCTGGGGGGGCCCCCATTGATTTTGTTAGTCAGTCTCACGCTGATATATTAAAAACTGCAAACATTTCTCTCCACCCTATGGGAAAATGTGTAGAATTGCAGCAAACTTGCTTTAAGCAGCAACATTTTCAGCGGTTCAGATTTTGTGGCCCCCACCCCAATCAAAGTTATCCATCCCTGATTTAGATGTAGAACATGGTATAACAGCGAAGGCATAGATAGCTTACGGTCGACTTTGCTTATTTTTTTTTTTGCTTAAATGTTTATACGACTCAAAGCCCTAGTGGCTGATCCATGTGTAATTGCACTGATCATTAAGTTATAGCTTTTTCTGCCGATGATCCTGAGTGTTCCCTCACACCTCTCGAATCTCCTCTTTGGGCTGTGACTCGATGTCCAAGGCCATGGTCATCTCCACTGGCTGGAAGCCCTTCTCCTCTGAAACAAGCACAAAATACTTCAATACAGGCATGCCAATACATCAAAACATTTCTATGAGCAGAATGATAATGAGTGTCAGCTTGAGGAATTTGCTTTGCCATCTCAGGAATGTGGTACTAGGGTTAAGTATGAGGTCATATCAAATAGGAAACCACAGTCGACTATGTAAAGTCTATGCTGAGTGGGCCAAGTACCACAAATGCCCACTGAGAGAACACCATTCTGAAGCTATGTAGACCAGAGGGGCAGGGTCAAAGTGTGAGATATCTGGGTGGATTATTAATGATGCAAAGGCATGCAGCATGATCTCATCTTCGATTCTTGTCACAGGAATTGCCGGCTGGTGCATGTCTAAATCCACAGCACCTTGAGAACTCGGCAGCTGAACATTTGTCATGTCCGTGACCAGGCCAAGGGGATGGGTGGCATTGGCATTGATAAATTGAGACATTCATATTGAGAACATGGGTGCCTTTTAGTTTGACAACAAAGCCTAAGCCTATGCTAGCCTGGTTGTCTGTCTGTTTATCTAACATTACACCATGTCATGTGTCAAACACGGAGTACAAGGAGTGGAATGTAGTTAAACATACTGGTGACCAGGCTAGGGCTATGCCTGGTTCCAAACCAACTCCTTACCTCATGCCATATTCCCTATTCCGTCTGTGATTACACATCGGAAGGAACTGGATCGGTGGAAAGCAATACGGCAAAAGCTCCAGGAAGACTACATAGACCTATCATCATTTTACTCACACCTATCCAACTGTATAGCTGTTGACGAGAGTGTGTCCCAGACCTGTCTGTGTGTGACTCTTCCAGGGCAGGATGTCCACTCCGGTCCGGCAGAAGGAGCGGTCTGTGTGGGACTCGGTGCTGTAGAGGACCTCCTGGGTCTTGTTGTCTCCGGGGATCTGGGCCTTGACCCGTACCTCCAGGATGGTGATCTCCTTCTCCTTCAGTTTGCCTGACTTGCTCTTCACCTGCGTCCGCTTGGTGTCCACCCACACCACCCGTTCCTTCACTGCGGATCTGAGCACACAATTCACAATTCAGACCAGAACCTGGCTTCCCCCAGACCGATCAACATCGATACACATCTGAGAAAAACGATGTAAAGAAAAAGAAAACATCCAACACCATCTCAACATACTCCATGTGTACAGCATATTGTGTATTATTATGTGGTGTCAAATGTCTTGCAACACTTGAGTACACACGGATCATCTCACTGGTCATGTAGAGATGTCAACGGCACACACACTCAAACCTGCCACTTGCGGACTCACTCTTCGATGCCCAGGTCTGCCAGGGTGGTGTCCAGGAACGGGAAAGGCTGGTCAGCACTGATGACCTCGATGGGCAAAGGGACACTCATGGGCACGTCCCATTCCAGCTCTGCGCGTACCATGTTCCCCAGGCTGGGGGAGTCTGTTGGCCTGTGTGGTTGTCTGTTGGTCTGTGCCTCCTGGGGCTCCGAGGTGTGGTTCGTCTCTTCCGCCATGTCAGTGTCTTTGGCCAGCCTGACTGAAAAAAACAGACCACTATGTAAAATGGGACTACTCCTTTACCACCCTTCTCTTATTTTCCTTTCTCTGATTACCTCTCAGTATCTATCTAGTAGACTGCTGTAGTGTTCAGTTACTTCTACACTTGCTTTGGTCAGAAGAATAGAAAGGCTAGTCTGTGATACTAAAGTCCAAGTGGATGGTTCAGAATGACAGCAGGTCCTTTTTCCTCGTCTATGAGCAGGGTGGTAGAGACTGGTCGGTGTGGTGGTGCGTACAGGGTTGTTCTCTCCCTCCTGATGATTTAAACGGTCGGTGTGAATGTGTGTAATGTGACGGTCAGATGCAAAGTCTATTAGGCTGTCAGGGGCATGCTGATGGACTGACGTTGTTTTTATTGCCAGGGGATTCTACCCCGTCTTTGTATTCATGCTGTTCTTCCTGTGTGTGTGTGTGTGTGTTTGTTTGTGTGTTTGTGTGTTTGTGTGTGTGTGTGTGTGTGTGTGTGTGTGTGTGTGTGTGTGTGTGTGTGTGTGTGTGTGTGTGTGTGTGTGTGTGTGTGTGCGCACGCTATCAACTCAGGGGTCTCCCTTTGTGAATCATAGCACTGCCAATGTATCCATGGTTAGTGTTTCAAGGTCAATGGCTTTTAGGTCAAAAGTTGAAACAAAATACAAAGTCTGCACTGTTCAGAATGGTTTCTCAGGTGTGTTTGAACACCTAGCGATCCTATGTACACGTCAGATTGATGGGCCAACGGGCAAACCTGTTATGTAGGGTCAAAAGGGCATGTTACCACATGTTTCATTTTACAATTCACTTTTGGCAGATTTATGCTTCTCAATAATTAAACGTAGCTTATTTGTGATATATGCAGTGAGTGACTTTGGCTGACCTCTTGTAAATATTTGGACCGTAACTGATTGTTAGCCTCCCTCCCTCCCCTCTCTCCCTCCCTCCCTCCCTCCCGCTCTCCCCTCCTCCCTCCCTCCCCTCCTCTCCCTCCTCTCCCTCCCCCCTCTCTCCCTCCCCTCTCCCCCTCCCCCCCTCCCCCTCCCCCCCTCTCTCCATCCCTCCCCCCTCCCTCCCTCTTCCTCCCCTCCCCTCCCTCCCTTCCTCCCCTCCCCTCCCTTCCTCCCCTCTCTCCCTCCCCTCCCTTCCTCCCCTCCCCTCCCCTTCCCTCCCTTCCTCCCCACTCTCTCTCTGGCGGTGTGACAGGTGTGTATGAGCCATGATCGATTTACGGAACATTGGCAGTGTGGTGTCACATTGTAAGCGTTAAAAAAACCTGTTTGCCCAATAACCCTTACAAGTCTCTCCTGTGTGCAGGAATGTGTGGCACGTGTGGTTGCATGCCTGTGTGTGTCGTGTGTATGTTCCATAACTGTGTGTGTGTTCAGTCCCCAGTATAGAAAAGGGGGAGTTCCTTTTCAACTAACACACATGCTGACTGGCCCATGCAACATACCAGAGTTTCACGACAAGTCCTATCACCTACATTCCACACCAACAACCCAATATAAATTCTACATGGACGTAAGATTATTTTCCAATGCCAAGACATTTTAGCGATCAATTTGTGATGCATTCAGTCCCCTCCCCTCTGTGAAATGACAATTGGAGAGAATTGTTGATTTTCATGTTGTGTACTGGTCAGCGGTCACACATTGCACAGACATCAGAGAGGAAGATGGTGAAGTCAGTATACAGTGGGGGAAAAAAGTATTTAGTCAGCCACCAATTGTGCAAGTTCTCCCACTTAAAAAGATGAGAGAGGCCTGTAATTTTCATCATAGGTACACGTCAACTATGACAGACAAATTGAGAAAAAAAAACCCAGAGAATCACATTGTAGGATATTTAATGAATTTATTTGCAAATTATGGTGGAAAATAAGTATTTGGTCACCTACAAACAAGCAAGATTTCTGGCTCTCACAGACCTGTAACTTCTTCTTTAAGAGGCTCCTCTGTCCTCCACTCGTTACCTGTATTAATGGCACCTGTTTGAACTTGTTATCAGTATAAAAGACACCTGTCCACAACCTCAAACAGTCACACTCCAACTCCACTATGGCCAAGACCAAAGAGCTGTCAAAGGACACCAGAAACAAAATTGTAGACCTGCACCAGGCTGGGAAGACTGAATCTGCAATAGGTAAGCAGCTTGGTTTGAAGAAATCAACTGTGGGAGCAATTATTAGGAAATGGAAGACATACAAGACCACTGATAATCTCCCTCGATCTGGGGCTCCACGCAAATCTCACCCCGTGGGGTCAAAATGATCACAAGAACGGTGAGCAAAAATCCCAGAACCACACGGGGGGACCTAATGAATGACCTGCAGAGAGCTGGGACCAAAGTAACAAAGCCTACCATCAGTAACACACTACGCCGCCAGGGACTCAAATCCTGCAGTGCCAGACGTGTCCCCCTGCTTAAGCCAGTACATGTCCAGGCCCATCTGTAGTTTGCTAGAGTGCATTTGGATGATCCAGAAGAGGATTGGGAGAATGTCATATGGTCAGATTAAACCAAAATAGAACTTTTTGGTAAAAACTCAACTCGTCGTGTTTGGAGGACAAAGAATGCTGAGTTGCATCCAAAAAGGACTACAGCTCAGCATTCAACACCATAGTGCCCTCTAAGCTCATCACTAAGCTAAGGATCCTGGGACTAAACACCTCCCTCTGCAACTGGATCCTGGACTTCCTGACGGGCCGCCCCCAGGTGGTAAGGGTAGGTAACAACACATCTGCCACACTGATCCTCAACACGGGGGCCCCTCAGGGGTGCGTGCTCAGTCCCCTCCTGTACTCTCTGTTCACCCATGACTGCATGGCCAGGCACGACTCCAACACCATCATTAAGTTTGCCGACGACACAACAGTGGTAGGCCTGATCACCGACAACGATGAGACAGCCTATAGGGAGGAGGTCAGAGATCTGGCCGTGTGGTGCCAGGACAACAACCTCTCCCTCAACGTGACCAAGACAAAGGAGATGATTGTGGACTACAGGAAAAAAAAGAGGACTGAGCACGCCCCCATTCTCATCGACGGGGCTGTAGTGGAACAGGTTGAGAGCTTCAAGTTCCTTGGTGTCCACATCACCAACGAACTATCATGGTCCAAACACACCAAGACAGTCGTGAAGAGGGCACGACAAAGCCTATTCCCCCTCAGGAGACTAAAAAAATTTGGCATGGGTCCTCAGATCCTCAAAAAATTCTACAGCTGCACCATCGAGAGCATCCTGACTGGTTGCATCACCGCCTGGTATGGCAACTGCTTGGCCTCTGACCGCAAGGCACTACAGAGGGTAGTGCGTACGGCCCAGTACATCACTGGGGCAAAGCTCCCTGCCATCCAAGACCTCTATACCAGGCGGTGTCAGAGGAAGGCCCTCAAAATTGTCAAAGACTCCAGCCACCCTAGTCATAGACTGTTCTCTCTGCTACCGCACGGCAAGCGGTACCGGAGTGCCAAGTCTAGGTCCAAAAGACTTCTCAACAGCTTCTACCCCCAAGCCATAAGACTCCTGAACAGCTAATCATGGCTACCCGGACTATTTGCACTGCCCCCCCCACCCCATCCTTTTTACGCTGCTGCTACTCTGTTAAGTATTTATGCATAGTCACTTTAACTCTACCCACATGTACATATTACCTCAACTACCTCAACTAGCCGGTGCCCCCGCACATTGACTATGCAACGGTACCCCCCTGTATATATAGCCTCCCTACTGTCACTTTATTTTACTGTATATATAGCCCCCCTACTGTCACTTTATTTCACTTCTGCTCTTTTTTTCTCAACACTTTTTTGTTGTTGTTTTATTCTTACTTTTTTGTTTAAAATAAATGCACTGTTGGTTAAGGGCTGTAAGTAAGCATTTCACTGTAATGTCTGCACCTGTTGTATTCGGCGCATGTGACCAATAAAATTTGATTTGATTTGAACACCATACCTACAGTGAAGCATGGGGGTGGAAACATCATGCTTTGGGGCTGTTTTTCTGCAAAGGGACCAGGACGACTGATCCGTGTAAAGGAAAGAATGAATGGGGCCATGTATCGTGAGATTTTGAGTGAAATCCTCCTTCCATCAGCAAGGGCATTGAAGATGAAACGTGGCTGGGTCTTTCAGCATGACAATGATCCCAAACACACCGCCCGGGCAACGAAGGAGTGGCTTCGTAAGAAGCATTTCAAGGTCCTGGAGTGGCCTAGCCAGTCTCCAGATCTCAACCCCATAGAAAATCTTTGGAGGGAGTTGAAAGTCTGTGTTGCCCAGCGACAGCCCCAAAACATCACTGCTCTAGAGGAGCTCTGCATGGAGGAATGGGCCAAAATACCAGCAACAGTGTGTGAAAACCTTGTGAAGACTTACAGAAAACGTTTGACCTGTGTCATTGCGAACAAAGGGTATATAACAAAGTATTGAGAAACTTTTGTTATTGACCAAATACTTATTTTCCACCATAATTTGCAAATAAATTCATAAAAAATCCTACAATGTGATTTTCAGGATTTTTTTTTCTCATTTTGTCTGTCATAGTTGACGTGTACCTATGATGGAAATTACAGGCCTCTCTCATCTTTTTAAGTGGGAGAACTTGCACAATTGGTGGCTGACTAAATACTTTTCCCCCCCACTGTATACCATGATCTTTGGTGACATCCACCTTTGGCCTTAGCAGGATGTGGAAAGTAAATGGTAAATGACCTAAAAAGACTAGTAAAATAGACCAATAATGATCTTGGCTAAGGGGTTTACACTGGTAATGTCAGCTCTCTTCTAGTTCAGTGCTAGCTTAGAACATGAAACACGTCTTCTCTATCCAAACATGAACACTCACTAACACTCCCATTTTGTCCCCTGGGCTGCTCTGCATTCAGCGGAGAAACAGGCGGTCACCATTACCTCACGAACCACAGCAGTGACCTCTGCCTCTTTTGTTTATTGCAGCCCGCCGCTACATTTGCGCGGTGTGACTCAGCGATCCAGGCTGC